GAGGGAGTGAAGTATGGCCTCCGAACATACTGAAGATGACAGAGTTTCTGGAGTTGTATAGATGTCAAAACTATCTGACATCTTGCCCAACCATCCTCCAGATGTAATGGAACTTGGCAACCTTGTGGTATCCAAAACAGACGATTGTAGATGTAGGTCCAGTGGTGGTTGTGTGGTAATTCCAGTGAGAACCACCCTGTCAGTAGCAGTGGTGGTTGTGTGGTGATTCCAATTTGATCTGTTGTTTCACTTCCAGTGGTGGTTGTGTGGTAATCCAGTGAGAACCACCCTGTCAGTAGCAGTGGTGGTTGTGTGGTAATCCAGTGAGAACCACCCTGTCAGTAGCAGTGGTGGTTGTGTGGTGATTCCAATTTGATCTGTTGTTTCACTTCCAGTGGTGGTTGTGTGGTAATCCAGTGAGAACCACCCTGTGGATACCAGTGGTGGTTGTGTGGTAATCCAGTGAGAACCACCCTGTGGATACCAGTGGTGGTTGTGTGGTAATCCAGTGAGAACCACCCTGTGGATACCAGTGGTGGTTGTGTGGTAATCCAGTGAGAACCACCCTGTCAGTAGCAGTGGTGGTTGTGTGGTAATCCAGTGAGAACCACCGTGTGGGTACCAGTGGTGGTTGTGTGGTAATCCAGTGAGAACCACCCTGTGGATACCAGTGGTGGTTGTGTGGTAATCCAGTGAGAACCACCCTGTGGATACCAGTGGTGGTTGTGTGGTAATCCAGTGAGAACCACCGTGTGGGTACCAGTGGTGGTTGTGTGGTAATCCAGTGAGAACCACCCTGTGGATACCAGTGGTGGTTGTGTGGTAATCCAGTGAGAACCACCGTGTGGATACCAGTGGTGGTTGTGTGGTAATCCAGTGAGAACCACCCTGTGGGTACCAGTGGTGGTTGTGTGGTAATCCAGTGAGAACCACCCTGTGGGTACCAGTGGTGGTTGTGTGGTAATCCAGTGAGAACCACCGTGTGGGTACCAGTGGTGGTTGTGTGGTAATCCAGTGAGAACCACCGTGTGGGTACCAGTGGTGGTTGTGTGGTAATCCAGTGAGAACCACCGTGTGGGTACCAGTGGTGGTTGTGTGGTAATCCAGTGAGAACCACCGTGTGGGTACCAGTGGTGGTTGTGTGGTAATCCAGTGAGAACCACCCTGTGGGTACCAGTGGTGGTTGTGTGGTAATCCAGTGAGAACCACCGTGTGGGTACCAGTGGTGGTTGTGTGGTAATCCAGTGAGAACCACCCTGTGGATACCAGTGGTGGTTGGTTGTGTGGTAATCCAGTGAGAACCACCGTGTGGGTACCAGTGGTACCCAGTGGTGGTTGTGTGGTAATCCAGTGAGAACCACCCGTGTGGGTACCAGTGGTGGTTGTGTGGTAATCCAGTGAGAACCACCCTGTGGGTACCAGTGGTGGTTGTGTGGTGATTCCAGTGAGAACCACCGTGTGGGTACCAGTGGTGGTTGTGTGGTAATCCAGTGAGAACCACCGTGTGGGTGGGTACCAGTGGTGGTTGTGTGGTAATCCAGTGAGAACCACCCTGTGGGTACCAGTGGTGGTTGTGTGGTAATCCAGTGAGAACCACCGTGTGGGTACCAGTGGTGGTTGTGTGGTAATCCAGTGAGAACCACCCTGTGGGTACCAGTGGTGGTTGTGTGGTAATCCAGTGAGAACCACCCTGTGGGTACCAGTGGTGGTTGTGTGGTAATCCAGTGGGAACCACCCTGTGGGTACCAGTGGTGGTTACCTATATTTCCTCAGGTTCTGAATCTCCCAATTCACTAGGGTTTCTTTTCAGTTTAAGTGGAATTATTTGTTTCTTTAAAAATTATATATATTCAGATACTAAGCATTAGCCTGTTATTAATACTTGCGGATGGAAGTTTGTCAGGGTGGATCTTGATACTTTAGAAACCAGGTTAGGCTGACTTTTTCAAAACATTAAAATTCATTGCTTTGTTTGGATTTTCAGAAAATCAAAAACATTTTCTAATCTCTAATCTGCACTAGACTTCTAGCTGCATATGCTGTGTTGGCCCACACATTACTGACTGGTTGACGACTTACTAATGGGAATCCTGTAGGAGCCGCTGTCTGCTGACGTGGTTGGAACATGTGGCTGGTGATGTCAGCATCCTGCATGAACTCATTAGTAAAGTTGATGATCTTCACAGTGATATCAATAACTACATGCATACTACAGTTGATGAGAACCTCCATTGATGAGAACCTCCACTGATGAGAACCTCCATACAGTTTGTATTTAGCATGACTATGGTGACATTGGTGGATCATGCACACAACTGCTGCTTGTGAAATCCTGTTGTAATGGCAATACTCCGAGTATAGTATACTGTCATTATTTATGGACAGTGGAGGCAGAGTGGAAACTATTTAACATGGTCGATGTATTGTTGGTTTCTTAGAGGGCATATGTAGATCCATCTGAAATAGCTTTGGGTCACAAAACTCAGGGAAATTAAAGACTACTAAAAGTTGTACATCCTTTGCATGTTTAGAAACAATTTGTTTGGGAGGTCAAGAAATATTGCTTATTCAGCTGAACTTGGGAGGAGCAATGGTGGAAGCTGGTACTTCCTGGTGGTAATAATAACATAATGGGGAAGACTTAAACTTCAGATCGTATCTTGATTCTGTGTAAAGATGGCATGTAGATTTGTTTGTTTTAGTTCATCAGTTTATGTTACAATATATAACACGTTTCAGTTAGCTCTCTATCTCCACACATGAATCTCACAACAACCAAACCTCCACCAGTTTACTGTATGTTTAATGAGGAGCTTTTATAAATCTTGTAAAAACTTTGCATGAATAACCGGTATTACTTCATTTATCATATGTGAGAGACTGGGGGAAGAGATGTCACTTTGTAAAACACTGTGGATAAGATTTGGCTGAGTGTTGAGAATAGGATGATGTCATATCAGATGATCTTTGGTTTATTGATGCCCTTGTCATCAAGTTATTCTGTGGGTTTATTTTGGCGTTTCTGTTGTGTTTCCCCCCAATTGTCATATTCTTCTTTACCATGATGTTATACTATGGAGTACACATATCTATCACAGTTTGTATAGGATCTAGCAAAGCCAGAAAATGTGCTGCAGATTTCACTGTGAGCAGTGACATTCCAGCTATTATGGAACTTATGTATGTATATGTAGTCAAATGTTATTTATAAGTTCACATCAACATAATCAATTATAGAAGTCCCCGCCTTTTCTGGTGACCTTGAGGTTGGAGTTTCATAGTGCGGGTCACAAGACAATGCCTGGGCAAGTTGAGGGCTAACCTTTACGTACAATCTCATATGACCTGTGCCTTGTACATTTCTCGTAATGGGTTCAAAGGAGGCCATTCCATTTGTGCACTACATCACATAAGGTATGTGTAAGTGCCTGCCGGTACTGTCAATACTTCCACTTGGTGTCTGCTGACAGACTGTCAACCTGAGTGCAGATTATTGTAGTATTTTGTACTTGCTTATATGCATGACATGAGTGCACATCAGTGCAGCTGATGCACACTAGCGTGCACAGCATTAGTGTGTAATGGCTATTGTTAGTGCCCTTGTGGGTTCCCTCAGAGCAAATAAGTTTTGCAACAGAGCTGTGTTATCTGTTACTATACTCATACAATAGTTTGAGAAAAGCTATGGAAAGCCCATGTATTTAGATTGTTGCAGTAATGAACAGATAAATGGTGTGCGTTTCAGACAGTAATGTTAGTTGCCATTGTAGGCATGCCAATACCTCCAGTACAAGAGCTCTCAGCCTGTTTGTACAAGGTAGGTGGAAGCTGTAGATGGTTGGCGCATATTGGCATCACATGTTATGGATTACTCACTCTATCCTGTACTTGTGGAGGAACAGCTATGAATGAAAAGGCTGGTGTATCTGCGTGGGTGTAGATAAGTTGTGTTGTGTACAAAGTTAATGCTGCGAACAACAGTAAATGAATTCTGTGATGAAAGAAGATAATGTAATTTGTGTTCTAATCATGTTTGTGTTTGCTCAGACATGTTGGAAAGACAATATGTATGTCAGTAGTGTGTAGTGAACAGGGCTGTGTAAAGAACATTTGAGCATGTGTGTGCATCCTTCAGCTGTGTAAACCAGCAAATTAGGACAACCCTTCCTATTAAATACATGGACGATTGATGTAAAGACATCATAATTTGATGTAATAAAATGAAAACTCACTTTAATTTTCAGCCTTTGTGTTATTTCCCATGATGAGAAAGTGATAAGGATTGTTATGAATATACTATATGTGAATCTACCATGCATCTATAGGCCAGTCAATTACTCAGCTGCAATATATGTACTAGTCATCATAATAGTTTGATATCACCATTTGCATTCTGAGATTCAGAGTTTTAAAATAGGGAAAGCAGGATGGTTGCGGTCACTGAAGCATCTGTAGGGAAAGCAGTATGGTTGCAATCACTGAAGCATCTGTAGGGAAAGCAGGATGGTTGCAGTTACTGAAGTATCTGTAGGGAAAGCAGGATGGTTGCAGTTACTGAAGCATCTGTAGGGAAAGCAGGATGGTTGCAGTTACTGAAGTATCTGTAGGGAAAGCAGGATGGTTGCGGTCACTGAAGTATCTGTAGGGAAAGCAGGATGGTTGCAGTTACTGAAGCATCTGTAGGGAAAGCAGGATGGTTGCAGTTACTGAAGTATCTGTAGGGAAAGCAGGATGGTTGCGGTCACTGAAGTATCTGTAGGGAAAGCAGGATGGTTGCAGTTACTGAAGCATCTGTAGGGAAAGCAGGATGGTTGCAGTTACTGAAGCATCTTTAGGGAAAGCAGGATGGTTGCAGTCACTGAAGTATCTGTAGGGAAAGCAGGAAAGTGTATGTTGGGATCTAATCATTTATGAGGCTACCAGTATGTTATCAGTTCTTTTTATATAGAAGGTAACATTAATTGATAATATGTATTTAATTTGTGCTGTTTTCTTTTCAGAGACTTAAGATTCAACAAAATAAAGAGTATACCACGGGGATCCTTTGGGAATTTATCAAGTTTACAAACATTGTGAGTATGCCTTGCTTCATATTATACATATAATGCCATCTGTCAATGGTATTAATCAACTTGAAGTTGTTTGTAAATGAATAGTGGATTTAAATAACAAGCCAATGGATATAAATGAGATCTAGAATTGCTTTGGAACTTGACTCTGGACAATTGCTTCTACAAATTATTAAATGTTTATTAGATTGTTCTCTTGATAATTCTTCCTGAAAGACAGTGTCCAGAGGTGCTCAAGCAGCAACATAAACTGGTGTGGGACAGTTTGCCCCTGATGGTAATTTCAGTAAATGTTGATTGAATTAACTAGTTCAGTTCTCAGTGTGTGTGTCCACCTTGTGCATTGATACGGGGATGGCACCCTCGCCTATTTGAGGCCTGTAAGCATAAAAAAAAGTCATGGGGAAGATCCTTCCATATCCGAGGAAGGATTTGGTGGAGTTCCTGCAGTGTTGTGAGAGGATTCAGATACTGTCGTTAACGTTCAGTGGGTGACATTGAATCAGGGGATCTTGCAGACCAGGCTAACACATTAACATTGTTCTGATTAAGATACTACTGTACAGCTTGAGCAACATGTGTTCTAGTGTTATCATGTTAAAATGTCACTACAGGGCTGTTCTGTTTCCAGAACAATAAAGCGGCCATTTGCAAAATCTCATCTTGGTGCCTCACAGCATTCAAGTCCCCCTCAATCATTATCATTGGCATCCTTGCTGCAGCTTTAATCCTACCCAAAATCAGAACGCCCTCACCTTCAAAACGATCCCTTTCCAGAACACATGCCCTTCTGTAACGTTCACCTGTGTGAATGTATATACATGTCCTGCCATCAGTTCGGTGAAGAAGGAAACATGGCTGTTCTCCACTCTCATGCTCTCCATCACAAGTGTTGTCTGCTCCACTGTAGAAGTCAAAGTTCTTGCATCAGAATTGGCTTTCAATCTGGGTGTCTTGCATGGATGCCGTACATGTTGTCGAACTGTTCTCAAAGAAACACCTTTGTTGCCAAGTAGATTCTATTTTCAACATATCTGAAAGCAAGAAATTAAGTTCTCATAGGTACCATACAGAGATAGGAATATTGTTAGTGGATAGTAAGTTCTCATAGGTACCATACAGAGATAGGAATATTGTTAGTGGATAGTAAGTTCTCATAGGTACCATACAGAGATAGGAATATTGTTAGATGGTAGGAATATAGGAATATTGTTAGTGGATAGTAAGTTCTCATAGGTACCATCATAAGTTCTCAGGTACCATACAGAGATAGTGGAATATTGTTAGTGGATGGTAAGTTCTCATAGGTACCATACAGAGATAGGAATATTGTTAGTGGATGGTAAGTTCTCATAGGTACCATACAGAGATAGGAATATTGTTAGTGGATGGTAAGTTCTCATAGGTACCATACAGAGATAGGAATATTGTTAGTGGATGGTAAGTTCTCATAGGTACCATACAGAGATAGGAATATTGTTAGTGGATGGTAAGTTCTCATAGGTACCATACAGAGATATTGGAATATTGTTCATAGTGGACCATACAGAGAAGTTCTCATAGTGGATACCATACAGAGATAGGAATATTGTTAGTGGATAGTAAGTTCTCATAGGTACCATACAGAGATAGGAATATTGTTAGTGGATAGTAAGTTCTCATAGGTACCATACAGAGATAGGAATATTGTTAGTGGATGGTAAGTTCTCATAGGTACCATACAGAGATAGGAATATTGTTAGTGGATGGTAAGTTCTCATAGGTACCACACAGAGATAGGAATATTGTTAGTGGATAGTAAGTTCTCATAGGTACCATACAGAGATAGGAATATTGTTAGTGGATAGTAAGTTCTCAGGGGTCATCTTTTCATCTTAGACAATGTTGGAACCAATTCTGGTTAAGTTGGATATTTGCTTTGTCTAGTTGTTGTGGTATTTTTAGTATTACATTAATGTAATGCTGTACTTTGATTCTATTACCACACACACAGTGTGGGGTGCAAACTTCTGTCACAGTCTTTTTCTAAGGGAGGTCACTGTATGTGACATGCCTACCTTGCTATTTGTAGGTCTCTGTATGTGACATGCCTACCTTGCTGTATGTAGGTCTCTGTATGTGACATGCCTATCTTGCTGTATGTAGGTCACTGTATGTGACATGCCTACCTTGCTGTATGTATGTCTCTGTATGGTACATGCCTACCTTGTATGTAGGTCTCTGTATGTGATATGCCTACCTTGCTGTATGTAGGTCTCTGTATGGTACATGCCTACCTTGCTGTATGTAGGTCTCTGTATGGGACATGCCTGCCTTGCTGTATGTAGGTCTCTGTATGTGACATGCCTACCTTGCTGTATGTAGGTCTCTGTATGTGACATGCCTACCTTGCTGTATGTAGGTCTCTGTATGTGACATGCCTACCTTGCGCTGTGTAGGCCTCTCTACCGGACATGCCTAGCATGATGTACGTAGGTAATGCTTGGTTTATTGCACACCTTACAGGAATATTTATATTGCTAAAATGTTTCGAGTTTAAGATTGTGTTAAGTTTTGCAAATCAGTATCTGTAGAAATTGCCCAAAACAAATAGTTTGTGAATTTTTGTGAATCTTGATTTTGGTCAAAGTAGTCCACAGCAGTGGCTTCTTCAAGAGCTATTGACTGCAACCCAGTCTGAGACATGATGTTGTTTTTCAGGTTGTTGAACAACAATGAGCTGGCAAGCCTGGATGATGGGGCCTTCCAGGGGCTTGGTGAGCTGAGATATTTGTGAGTAACCTCTAAGGTCCAGATAGTGTAGCTCATCAAAGAAGTAACCACATATTGATGTCAATAATGTATATTAACCTTTACCTACGCCTAATACAACCATAAGCTTAAGGAACATATGCTGATTTGCAGTTTATTAAAATAGTTAATTTATAGTCTTTACCAACTATTATAAGGATGCTTTGCGAAATGTTGTAATTCCAATCTGTATGAGCCATGCCTCCGCCCTGCGTTTCACAGGCCGGTTTCCTGTGTGCAGAGAAAATCTTGAAAGCTAACATCTTAAATACATTAGCCCACAGAGGTTACACTGACATCAACTAGCTGACTGTAGTGGAAATATAATTATTGAAGTGCAAATATGTTCACTGTTTTGTGTACTCTACTTGATGTTCGCCTTTCAGATATCTATATAAAAACAAGATAGAGACCATTCATAGTAGAGTATTTAGAGATCTTCCTAAACTCGAACAACTGTAAGTATGCCGGGTATATTTAAATACTTTTTATCTTTCTTTCATTGTAATGCACTGAAGGTTAACTATCTTGCAGAATCTTACCATTGTAAATGTGTTCAGGCACATACCATCATAACAGGTTTTATCTACTGCATTATATCAATCATATGAATACTTGTTAGTCAACTCTAATATTGACAGACCACAGTTCTCAGATACTTACAATAAGTTTTTGAATGATATGATCTAGTGTATTGTATAATATTGCCTCTCGCTGTTTCTTGTTACAGTTTACCATTCTCTCTTGAATATTTCAGTTCTACCAGCTAAATCATGTCAATATTGATTATAGTAATATACAGACTGAGATATGGACTCAGTAAATATTTAAGGTTTAGCTTATATCATGTGTGTGAGTATTGTTTGACTTCTCATAAGATGAACGTCTGAAGAGAACAAAGTTCTGTTATCAACACTACTGTGTTTTTGTTGCAGATTCTTACACAGCAATAAACTAAAGAGTCTACCAAAAGGTGTATTCTCCCACTCCAGACATCTACGTCGGTTGTAAGTATATCACACATTTTCTTCTTGAAGCTCCCTAGCATTGTGCACAAAATCAGGAAGTAAATAGGAAACTTTTGAGATACTGGAATAAAAATGTTCTCAACCATGACAGTTTTGTATGGCTTGACATGGCCATTTGCAGAGTCATCTCCCTTGTTTATGGACTAGTCACGTGACAACACAAGCAGACAACAACTTCTAAGATCCACAAACATGTGAGGACTTGACAAAGAAAACCATCTCAACAGTCTGTACTCAAATGTGTTCTGAAATACTCATGAGTTGTACAGCATGACTAGCATTCCTCTCTCTACTGTGTACATGTGTGTGAGTAAGTGTGGTTCTGGTAGTGCTTCATATGTTAGGTTGGATCAGGATATTGGTCTATTTATGACACTAACAATAGACAATGTGTTGCTCAGCTTACCCATCTTCTAATGTAGTTTGCTGAACTTAGCTGGGAAATTAGGAGAAGAGGCCATCAGAAGAAGCACATGTCAAAATCTACAAGACATAAGTAACTGGAGATATAAGAACCCAATCAACAATGGTCCCCCACAAAGCTTATTGTTTAAGCACATTAAACTATAGAAGACATTTCTTTAAAAAATATAAGTTTAAAATTTCCAGTTTTGTTTGCATTCTTAGTATTCGGCACAACATAAACCTATGATGATGGGTTCAATAGGAATGGTAGTCTGAGTCTGTTTCCATGTGTCATGATTATGTAAAATGTTATGGTCACTTTGGAGATCACTGACTTGTGAAATTACTTATAAATAAATAGTTTTATTCATTACATTTGTAAGTTTGGTGTGGAAACTTCATATTTCTAATACACAGTTTGCAGCTAGTAACATTCCGAAGTGTGTTGAAGGTCAAGGTCATTCTTGTGTAATTATAATGCCTTAATTATTTATGATTGGAATTTAGTAATACTTGATACACATGATCTTTAAGCAGTTCATGGCTATGCTTAGGAAGCAAGAGGGGTAGTCATTTCTGTTTCATAGTTTTGTCATCAATGATTTCAAAGATGAAGTGATGATGATGTTCCAAGAGATGTTATTAAACTGGAAGTGCTCAAAAGTACATCTACAAATTAACTGAAGGGGCATGACTTTCTGTTGTACAGCAAGGGTCAGGGCCTAGATTTTCGAAGCTCTGTTAGCGCTAAGATTGTCGTAAGTGCCATTAACTTACGACTATCTTAGCACTAAGAGAGCTTCGAAAATCTAGGCCCATATGTTTTTCAAAACAAGAAGTGATGTTATATGGTTATAATTACTTATGACATTGTTATTTAAGGTGCTGGGTTCATGAAATGTGTCGTTTCTAACTTGTACGGTAGTGCGGTTTGTTTACTGAGAAACTGGGCATTCAGGAAACGGTGGGATGGGTCTGTTTCTCTTTTTGCATGCAATGCAAAGGCGTTTCTAGATGATGTGTGCTGTTCATCTGGCCAGGACATAATCTGGGAACTGTAAGCATATATTGACACCTTGCAATGTTCAGCTGGCACAGTGCATTGGACACAATGTGTCATGTGTAATCTGAATCTAAATGTCAGTAGTTGGCACAGTCAATTCATATACTATGACGTGATGTGGAAGGATATGTGATCACATTGTACAGATGTATTTGTTTGTGATTGACAATTCAGACGATTGGACTCAAATGCACTGGTCTGTGACTGTCAGTTGATGTGGCTGTCCAACATGCTGAAGGAGAAACATGGCTATACGCAGGCTGCTGCCACCTGTGAGTTTCCCAGCAAACTGCAGGGGAGGTCCCTCATGAGCATATCCCAGGATGACTTCCACTGTGGTGAGCATTCCGTACTAGCAGCATGCAGTATGTACAGGCTATAGCGTTCCCTTTATAGGATTACTATGGTATGCAAAGATACGTATGTGCATGCTTATCACTCTCCGTCCATCAGGAAACTCAAGACTTTTTCGTATTTGACTTCATTGTCAAAGCTGATATCCATTCTATTAATGAACTATCCAGTGTTAAACTTTTTATAGTCTTTCTGAAGTGTACTTCCTAAACCACTCAGATTTCCAATTTCTGTCAAATATTCTTCATATATGTCTATAACATTAAGTGACTTGTAATTTGGTTGAGGCATCAAACCTTTACATTTCAAGATGCGAGAAATGTTTCCTCTTTTATATCCAGTTAGATAATGGTATAGGCATACAATAGTTTGAATATGTACAAGTTTTAAAAGCTTAATGACCCTTTCACTTTTTTGCAGAATATCAAGTGGCTAATGATTCTGACCATAGATCAGGTATGTACTGAGCTTTTATTGAAATTCACTCTATCATACTTACTTTATGCCATCTTCACAAGCCGACTTTTCTTGGGGCAACTGCAGTGCAACCTATCTATGGTACGAGATGTGATCCTTGTTATGAAACTGTGATACCTTGTCAGATGACTGTTCTTGTTTGGAATGACTTCACAAAAAGTTACCAATATACGATGAAGCCAGTGTCATAAAGTGAAGTGGAGTCAATGCACGTAACACTCCTTGTTTGTAGTGACGGGTAGTGGGTTATTATGTACTTTAGATGAGATATGGTGTGTAATAAGGGAGCTGCAGTTTTTTTGTCTTTACTGAATGTCTTCCTTTTCATTTTGCAATCAAAGGATTGTGAGAGGTAGGTCCTATTTATTTTGCAAGTCAGCGTCTTTGTAACAACTGGTTGAAGACAATATTGATTCACAATATCTGTCAATATTAGGGGTAAAGGTAAGACATTTGGGTGAGATTGATATCAGGTTACCCAATGTCACTGGATTTATAGACACATCCACATTGCAGTATTAAGGGGGTCAAAGATTACAAATAGGTAAATTGCTGTTAGTGGTTTCTGGATAAACATATACATATTTATGGATGCTAGAGCCATATTGATGGTTGATGTATGTCATACATAAATGATCAATCAGGTGATAATGATAGATACCGACTCCAGAATGATTTCAGTACATTAGCTTTGAAATGTAATGTACTTCACTGCCATATTGAGTTTGTTCACAAGTTTTCTTATTTAAAGATAGGTGGTAAATTTAGGCAGCCATATGGGTGAATGGTGAGGTCAGTGTTCATGAGGCAAGTACAAATATGACATAATCCTGGTTTACTCCCATCTATATGGCATTGTTTGCACCAATGGCAACAATGATATGCCAAGTACGTTTAATATGGGCACTATTACCAGCACAAAACATTTTGTGAATGTAGATTATTCCTACTTATAAGAAGGTACAGGCACTGGTTACAAGCTTTGTGTTTCACCAGTGTTATTAACAACATGCCTTTGTTGTGTGACATGACGCCTTGCATATATGGGAGCTGAGTATCATCCGACCAACCTGTGATGTGCATAATTTTAATCCTATCTCATGTTTTCTGTTAGAAATGCCAAGATTTACAATGGAGCCAAGAGACGTTGATGTGACATTTGGCAACACAGCATACTTCACCTGTAGAGCAGAGGGCACACCTAATCCAGAAATAATATGGCTCCACAACAGGTGAGTGGTGGTTTTGTCGTTAGTGATTCCCTATGGTTTGATTGGGCATATATTCTGTAATGTGAACTTCAGGTCCCTCAGGAGATTATTTCAGTTTATAGATTCTTCATTTTCACATTGATTATTAGTTTAGGAAGGCAAATTTCTTTTTTAAACTGAAACAACGCCCTCTCTGTGATTTGTCTGCAGTAGTTATTCATTAAGTCTCTATTTTGACAGGGATTTTAATGATTCTCATTATTTAGGTTTTGCATTACTTTAAAATATGAAATTGTTTCTTCTCATGAGTCCTTAATGTGTATGAAAACAAGTTTAGCACTGCATATCTCTATGCTGATCTGATTTGCTGACTTGAATTTGTCATTCTGATCATCCAAGTAGAATTACAGCTTCTCTGAGTGGTACCAGGACATGCATGGCTATATAACTGAACAGACTGGCTGTGGTGTTGCAGTGAAATGGTGGAGCCTGATAATCGCTTGACTATCCTCTCTGATGGTACGTTGATGATTCAAGAGACGAAGGACACAGATCAGGGGGCCTATGAGTGTGTGGCCAGGAATGCTGCGGGAGAGGTGAAGACAAATAAGGTGGAGCTGAGGTACTTTGGAGAGCCGGGTAAGATATGGAATAATCTAGGGCTGTATTATAGATTTGAGGGAGCAACTGTTGCAGTCTCACAGGGTGGAACTATGAGTGAACTCACAGGTCAATGTGTCATCTGGGTATACACTCAAATCTTATTGGTTACCACGTAACAAGGTGACGACATGACAGATGAACACCCACATTAGTGGGCCATCTGACTGGGATGCTGGTTGAAAGGAATATCACACTTTTTGATTGTAAATATCCATCAAATTTTTCCAGCACATAAACAAATGCACATGTCTTTGCTTAAAAACCTGCCTACTGGCTTCTCTTTGGTGTTGGTTTGGTTCCTCCTCCTCTTTCAGTTTGTTATGTGGTTATTGCCATGTTTTTACATTGTTGTCAACTCCTGGTGTTTCAATATAGACCAGTTCCACTAGTTGGTTGTCAGGCCCAAATCTTTGTCACTTGAAGTTTCAATATGAGAATAAGATTATGATGTGATACAATAAACCTTCAACACAAACAACTGGAACTAAACATTGTATTATTGGAACCATGAATGCATCAAATGTGCCATAACTCCTTTTCAGCACCTCTAACTGTGATTGATGCAAAGGCTTAAACACATAAACTTTTATATAAAATACATAAATCTTATTGACTCATATGTGATTATGGAACCATTGTGGTATGCAAGCTATGTCTTACGGGTGATTTAATGTTTGATAGTCTTTATTGATTTTATTTGTTTTAGTGTTGTTAGTAATTTTTCCAACTGTAGCCATATTAATGTTGTGATGTTGAGAGTCATTTTGATTTGTGCTTTCAGTGATCCCGACTTTCATGGAGACACCAGCTGATATAACAGATGTGGCAGGCGAGACAATTCAGCTACTTTGTCGGGCATCAGGAAACCCACGGCCAGACATCACCTGGACAAAGAATGGGTCCCCCCTACAGAGCAGCCCACGGTTCCGCCTCCTGTCCAATGGTGCACTGATGATCCGTGATCTGCGGGAGGAGGACGAGGGCCTCTACAGGTGCAGTGCGGCCAACAGCATTCAGACCATCACAGCCTCGGCTAGGGTCACCATCCAGTGTAGGTACTGCTTGTAAACAGCAGAACACTGATTAACACATCACCTTGGGGTCAGGCTGCCTTTGTGTTGCCCAGGACATTCCCAATATATCAGTTTCTATTTATGTATTTGTGTTATAGGTGATAGTAAGGCGAGTCTTGTTGGTTCACAGTGGTTCCTTTCCGGAATAGACTTTTCAGTGATATGAGGTTTTATGGTGCCATTTATTGTCTTATCTATTGCTTGTTTTTTTCCAGCTCCCCCTGAATTCTTTGTGATTCCTCGTGACAAGGAAGTCCCAGAGGGTGATAATGCAGACTTCAGCTGTAATGCTAGGGGGGACCCAAGTCCAGTCTTGTCATGGGTCAAAGATGGTATGTCATCCAGCTGTATCACGGTTATTATTAGGTCAAAGATCGTGTTTCACCTAGCCATACAGCTGTACCTTATCTGAATTACAGCATGTCACCAAGCTATATCATTGTCTGTCATTGGTTTAGAACAGTAAGTCACACAGGTTATACAGTCAAGCACCGTTGTCTCGATATTCATGGGCCCAAGAAAAAATATCGAGTTATCCGAACTTCGATACATCCGACCAGGGCATATCATCATTTATCGCTATGAAAGAAAATAAAACGCTTCTCAGTATGTTTTGATTTGAAACTATAATCCGTTATCAGTAGTGTTTAGTTGTAATAGTGAGTACTTCCTAAATATTAATCCTAATTAAATAACAATCAAGTGACACCTTCAACTCAATTAGCCCTAATTAGTTTACACTATTGCATCTCTTTGATTCATGCTGCTACGTGTGTAAACGTGTGCAAACAACCTCAGTTCAGAGGGATACTTGCCCATGAAAAGTAGGTGAATATCGAGGGTTTTTTCAAATATCGAGTTAAAAGGGTAATTTTGCTTGTTGGGACCATGAAATTATATCGAGATATCCGAAATATCAAGACACCCGTATCAAGTTAAAAGAGCTTGAATAATGATAATTTTATGAAGGATATTGCCGGGACCGAGATGTTATATCGAGACAACCGAGATATCGAGTTATCAGAGTTCGACACAACGGTGCTCGACTGTAGCTGTATATCAGTTGGTCACGCATTATAGCCATATGTTGTGGGTGATGGGACAGCATGTCGTCTAGAATGTTGAGGTATGTCATGAGTAAAGGATCTAAAGGACACAGTAGCATTAAGGGGATTCAGCAGCCTTAATATGACAAATACATTCATCTTACGTGCATTGTAACTCTAATATCATAGAAAACTTCTTACTGGAGAATGATCCCAACCAAAATAATTCTAGGGACATCTATGAGACTTGGTGCTCGATATATATATTTTGTTTGTGTGTGAAACATAAGCTTTGTTTGTACGTGGACTAGATGATGTTGTTAGGTGTACACTGTGTATCCTGATCTTACTGTTGCTACTGCAGGTCGCCCCATACCCACCAACAGACGGTACACTCTACAGAATGGGGGACGCTTGTTCCGCATCCTGAACACCGAGAGCTCCGACACCGGACAATACACTTGCCGGGCAGAGAATGCAGCAGGGGAACAGCAAGCCAGTGCCAGACTCCACATTATCTCTCATAGTACGACACAAAAGCTTGTAGTTGAGATAAGCTCTTCATAAAGTGAATGAACAAACTTGTTTGGCACTGCTCTAAACAGTGTGTCACAGGGATATCATGGCATGTCAGCTTGGTGTGGGATGAAGCAGTAAAGTGCCTTCTGAGGACCTATCAGACCTTCAGTTGTAGTTATGTAAACACAATTGTAGTTTTTCACTTCAAGTTTAGTGTGTTAAAGAAACTTCATTCACAGGTAAGATTTAGCTTTTCAACCTGTAACTGCTTGTAAATAGACCTTGTGTTTGTTTGCAGCTGCTCCTGTGTTCAGTGAGCGCACTGTGAGCAGTGTGCCCACTGCAGGCAGCGACATCAGTCTGGAGTGTCGGGCAGAGGGAAACCCTACCCCTCACTACCAGTGGCGGAAGGAAGGGCGGCGGATACGCAACAGTCAAAAGTATGACCTGCAAGGCAACACTCTGACTGTACGGAATGTGCAGCATGGCGACTCTGGCAGATATGACTGCATTGCTCAGAATCTGGCAGGGAGATCGGTCAAGTCTGTTAATGTACAGGTGCAGGGTAAGTGTCACAGTGTTGTAGTGTTAGAGAACAGAATATTCAGCTGATTTAGCGCTGCCTCATCTCATACATGTCTTCCTAAGCACCTTCAATTCTGTGTGTGTTGTTTGTCTTTTTACAGGAATTCCAACACCTTCTAGGAGGGGAGACAACTTTGTACACGCAGCCTCAAACCGTGCGAGGACAATAGTGAATAATGCCATCAACGACACTTTGCGGGACCTGTTTAACAAGGACAAGACACATACAATTGAAGACTTGCTGAGAATTTTCCGTTACCCTGCACCAGAGGCACTTGAACTGGCAAGAGCAGAAGAAATCTTTGAGCAAACACTGAACATCATCCACCAGCATGTCAGTGATGGAAACACTTATGATCTGGACGACCATGGTAAGCTGGCACACTCTACAGTAATTGTGAATCATAGGATATACACATAGCCAAGATGATGCTAATAGAAAGAGAAAGGATAATGGTTGGTTTACATAGAATGAAAGAAGGACAGCACATGCACATTGACAAATGAAACTGCCACAGCGGAAACAGGGCTCAAATATTACAGATTATACAATGAGGGATTTTTAATGAGGGGAAGCAATTGGCCATGATGTGTTATTTTCTTGTTTTTACAGAAGAGAATTACCGTGAGCTGGTGTCTCCAAGTCACCTCTCACTAATTGCCAACATGTCTGGTTGCAAGAACCAGTACCAGAACATTGACTGTTCCAACACATGCTTCCATCGCAAGTACCGTACTCTGGACGGCACCTGTAACAACTTCAACCAGCCTGACTTGGGGGCATCCAACAAGGCTTTCCTTAGGCTGCTGGATCCCATCTATGAGAATGGTTTTAATACTCCAGTAGGTATGCTCATTTACTTTTCTTGTCATTTTGCATAAAGAAAATTGATTGTCAGTGATTAATGTTAGAAAGAACGTATGATGTTACTTCCCCATGGAATGACATTTGTGACATTTGAGTGATTATGAAAGTGTGTCAGTATGTAATATGTAGTGTACCTGTTTTAGGCTGGGTGCGCTCTCGCCGATACAATGGTCAACAACTTCCTAGCCCACGCCTCATATCCTCGTTGATGATGTCCACCAGTCATGTGACAGAAGATGAAGATTACACTCACATGCTGATGCAGTGGGGGCAGTTCATGGACCATGACCTGAGTCTTGCACCTCAGTCAGTGAGCTTTGCAAGGTTCAGTGATGGTCGCAGGTGTAATGAAAGCTGTGAAAATATCAGTCCTTGTTTCCCTATCTCTGTTCCAAACAGTGATGACCGTGTACACACACGGTGCTTAGGCTTCTCCAGAAGCAGTGCAACATGCAACACAGGGAGCACCTCCATATTCTACCACACTGTGTCCCCTCGCCAACAAATCAACTCCCTCACCGCATTCATTGATGCATCTAATGTGTATGGTAGTACCCAGAGGGAGGCAGAGAGCTTGAGAGATTTATCAAATAACAGAGGACTTTTGCGGGTGGGATCCTTGACGCTGCGGGGGTCAAGATACTTGCCATTTGATGACGACTCTCTCTCCCATGTTGACTGTCAGATAGAACCGAGTAAAAGACATGTCCCGTGTTTCAGAGCTGGAGACCATCGAGCCAATGAACATCTTGCTCTCACAGCAATGCATACACTGTGGTTGCGAGAAAACAACCGTATTGCTACGATTATGTTACAGCTGAATCCACACTGGGATGGCAACAAGGTGTATCATGAAACGAGGAAACTTATTGGAGGTGTCATGCAGCATATATCATACACACATTGGTTACCTAAGATTCTAGGCAAGAGAGGAATGGAACTCCTGGGGCCATATACAGGCTATGACCCAAGTGTAAATCCTACAATATCAAATGTATTTGCTACAGCAGCATTACGATTTGGGCATTCTTTAGTGCAGCCTGTGATATTTAGACTGAATGAAACATTTCAACCCATCCCTGAAGGCAACCTACCTCTCCATAAAGCATTTTTCTCTCCCTACAAGATAATGGAGGAGGGTGGCATTGATCCTCTGTTGAGAGGCATGTTTGGGGTAGCAGCCAAGAAGAGGATGCCTGGAGAGCTGCTTAACTCGGAACTGACAGAAAAGCTCTTTTCACTGGCTAACACTATCGGTCAAGATCTGGCATCACTCAACATCCAGAGAGGAAGAGATCATGGCCTACCATTTTATAATGCATATAGGAGCTTCTGTAACATGAGCCAAGCTCGGACATTTAATGACTTGCGTCATGAGATTAGAGACAGGGACACGCGAGCCAAGCTACAGGATCTGTATGGCCATCCTGGTGAGCAATTTACATTTTGTCAATGGCCAAAATTTATTAGACCTTTCGAAATATTAATTTCTCAAAGTGAGCAACATTTCTACAGTAGATGGCATGATCTTAATAATGTATGTATGGAATGAATGATATACAACACAAGTATGTTACTGTATCAATAGGAACTTCTTTCTAATGTGTACTGATTATAGGTATTGTTTTAACATTTACACTTGTTCAGCGCAGATGAAATTGATCATGTTGATGTATTTGTGGGAGAAATGTTTAAGTGGGACTGTTTTACATTGACATGTATACTTTGTTCAACACAGATAACATTGATGTATTTGTGGGAGGAATGGCTGAAACACCAGTAGAAGGTGCCAAGGTGGGCCCAACTTTCCTGTGTATTCTAGCAAATCAGTTCAGAAGGCTACGGGCAGGAGACAGGTAATTTTTGTAACATTCACTCTGTACTGAAATATATTAATTCAGATCGTCACAGGTGTACTTTGAATGAAATTGATTGAGTGTTGATTTGTGTCTTTGATGTGTTTAGGTTCTGGTATGAGCAACCCGGAGTGTTCAACACTGAGCAGATTGTTCAAATCAGACAGATGTCGCTTGCAAGGGTAATCTGTGACAACACAGACAGCATTGACAAAGTCCAACTGGATGTCTTTAAACGGAATATTGGAGATTACAAGTCCTGTGATGATATACCCCGCCTGGATCTCCGCATGTGGACTGACTGCTGTGAAGGTGATACTAGCCATACTGCACACCATCATCATGCCTCGGCTGCTTTATAAGCCCCAAGATTTATTAGAACAAATTTAGAATGTAAATTTCATTGAGGTAGCATGTCAGTTTCATGACTATTTGTTTCCGAAAAAAACCAGGAGCCATAACTATTTATGGAAGTTACTTCGTCAAAATGAAATACAGTTACAGGTAAAATACAGTTACAGGTGTACAGGAACGATTTTTTATGGGTAGACAACTTCTTTATTGCAATGGGTGCAACGTTTCGGTGTAGATGCTAACACTGTTATCAAGCAAGTGATACACAACGCTTTATCATCTACACTGAAGTGCACCCACTGCAATAAAGAAGTTGTCTGTCCATAAAGAATCGTTTCTGTTCATCATACCAGCTTCTCAACGCCACTCAAAGAATGTACAGGTGTAGTTTGTATGGGGGACAATGTTATGTATTGGGTGATTTTTTAGATTTATACATTGATAGACCTTTGCACATCAACAATACTGGAAGTTGAAAATTCTATTATTCAGTGATGTTCATTGAAAATGTATTGCAATTTAGTGTATATATAGTTTATAGTAGGGTTCAAGATGTGTGTTGTGTTTTCTGCAGTATTATATATTAATCGTTTGGTCCAACTTTCTCAATTTCTTCAAGTTATTTAAGTAACACATTTTCAGTCTTAATTTGATCAAATTATCAGTGTTATTACTTGACATGGTGAATTGAAGGAAGGATCATTTTGGTTTTCAGACTGCAGAAGGACCAATAACTTCCAGTCATTTGCCCGTCATTTCCGTGGCCGTCGTTCCGTCGAGTACAGCTACCCAGATCACCAGGAGGTGGAGGAGGAGGTGGAACAGCCAGCAAATGTGACGGACCCAGTGGTGGCTGCTGAGGAAGAGCCAGGATGTAACTCCACAGACACACGGGGGTCTGTCATACAGGATGACGTCATGCTGTTGGACTCCCGGCTGGAGTGGATGGAAGCGACCATGGCCGAAATGGTCAAAAATTATAGCAAATTAAAAAAGAAAGGTACAAACACACAGATTAGTATGTTTATGATTAATTTAGTGTGCTTCTCTGTTAGGTTGTTCTGTATCAAACCGGCAGGACATATATACATGGAAAAACATTAAACACATCACAACACCTACAATTTATAACATATGATATACTTGTTTGTATGATTACTTTGACTCTTTGGGTGCACGTTACATTGATCTCACCTGTCCTGTGCTACAATCGGAGGGGAGCATCACATACAATACATGTACCCGCCATCAAGCAAATATCAAGTTTTTCATCAAACTATTCTTACGGCTTGATCTGTACATGTCAAATACACTTCATCTGTACATGTCAAGTTGTGTATGAAAAGCAGGATCGATTCCACATCATTGTTTATCCAAAAGAATGGTGTGAAAGTGCCTAAAATCAGCTGGTTATAGAGCCGGCTTGGGGCTATCTCCGGAGCACAAAGCAGCACAGCTGGCATGGTGTCACACTCGATGTCACTGGAATTTGAGGTCATGGGAAAGGGTCCATAAATGATTGCCAAAAAAGTTAGTGGTTTGGGCCACAGAAACAGTGCATGTGCACAACAGAATATCTTGGGAGTACCGTTTGGTGGGGGTGCATGCCTCTTACTTAGAGACTTTGAAGATATTTCAGGCTGTATATAACCATGTTCAGTGCAGGATCACAATTGTTTCAGATGCGTAACATGCAAAGGGTGCTGCAAGGCAGGAATTACCACTGCAAGGACCACAAGAGGAAGAAGAGAGTGCATGGGGAGAAGTGGAAAATAGACACTTGTAAAATATGTCAGTGCAAGGTCTGTTCATCATGTTCTGTATTACAACTGCATTTAAATGAATATGTTTACAAACATAAGATTAATTTGTCAAATGTTCAAAATATTCCAGTGAGGGTGCCTGTAAGCATCAACTATGTTTATCACATGACAAAGAGAAGTCCATAGGTAACTTCTCACAAGGTAAAACATTTCATAGGAATGCAGCGTTATTCAAATTAGAGTATAGTAGATCATCAGGATAACACAAAATGTTTTCAAGTAGAAAGTTGTATCAATTGTACATGTGTTACTTAAAAAAAGTTCATTACTTGTGTTGTGTATGAGAATGTCCACTTCTTCTTGTAACAAGCTCTGTCTGGTCTAAACACAGGACACATGATTCATAACGTCTTCAATGTGTACATGTCAGCCTGGATTTGTGCTAATGCACAAATGGCACAAATGTTTCAAACCCATTTAGTATAAATTCTCTTCATGGTTACTATAAGTATCAAACTGTTGCCTTTTGTGTCTAGGTACTTTGACATTTTCTTTCTGTTTGAGATTTCCTTTACTGGATTAATGTAGCATGTTATGTTGCTCCCAGAGCATAAGCTGCCAGCCCCAGGCAGAGGTAAAGAACTGTGTTGTAACAGGATGTGAAATATCAGACACTATTTCTGCAGGTCATAAACACATATGAATTCAGGGAGAGGACAAACGTTTTGGATGGAATTCTTCTACCCCCAGATCAGTTGCAATGTCCTATGTGACGTTTCCAATATTAAGATAGCTGCTGTGGTGAATGCTCAAGTCGAATGTGTAGCCAGATTTTAGTATAAATATACAAATGATGTTTGATGCTGTTGTGTTACAGAAGGGTCAAGTGGAGTGTGACAGGCAGGTGTGCCCATCAGTAACCACGTGCAGAAACCCCCGGAAGGAGGTGGGCAAGTGCTGTGCCACCTGTGACTGAAGCCAGCAGAGCAGGGCCTCTGTGTGAATGTACATACTGTGATGATGAACTCTTCAGACGCTGGCCACGCCATTTGTGCTCCCAAGTGACAAACATTATTTACTCACTGAGTGGGCTCTGCAATGCCAGCAGCATTGATCAAGTCACCTAGTTATCATTCCCACACATATTTGCTCGAGGACATACCAGCTCGAGATATACTTCACCACACACCAGCCAAGAGTGTGTATACACAGTGACAATTGTAATGTGATGTTGCCCTAGGTAGTCATTCTCAGACTAAGGTGCCCACAAGCAGCTGTTTTCCTCCATTTCATGCTGAACGGAGTGATCGTCAGGGCAGGACTCACTTACCAGGTAGCTGAAAGAACCTGAGGATGTTCTACCAGGTGTTACCTGGAGAGTTGTGTACACATTCAGAATAACTGGCAATGTGAAATCACCATGTGATAGGTTAGTATTGTGCGAGCCACACCCCCATGATGTCCCCACATGTGGCATTACCCCACCCAACTCAGGTAGTCACCCTGCTCCCATGGAATTACTAATGTACTGGTGCTTCTCTGTAAGTCTCCTTCATCCTACTGCCAGCCTAGCTTCCACTGATCACTTGTAGCTCACCTCCACTTGCTTGGACAGATTTTCTATTGCTTGAATCAACTTCTGTGAAAATTAATGAAGAATCCAAGAACAAGTATCTGAGACATAATGAGTTCCCTGTTTTCAAAGGTCACCGCATGTAACAGAGAGGTACAAATTTTGATAAATGATAATGGCTATATATTTTATAATCACTGTTTCTTATATCACAGAAAGTGCTGTGTCAAAGTTGTTGTATTGTACATCTGTGGTTGTAGGGACCGATTCTTGGCTTGATTGTTGAAAATATCAGTGTGAAAACTTTCAGCTTCAGTTTTTGGAGTGGGAATCTGTGCTAATTTCAGTTATTTGCCAAATTTTCAAATAGATAAAATGATTTTGAGTGGTTCTTTGTTACCATGCACTGCATTGTGCTTTTGAATCACACATGAAACCAGAGATACGCAAATCCCATCATGTGACTGAAGAAATATGAATATTGAAAGAAATCCTATTCAATATTGATTTGAACCAATCAGATTGCAGCATATACTTACATTGTGTTTTCACATAGCTGACACAAACAATCTAAAAATAATTGTCTCTTTGTTACATCTGTCATCTCTAGTGAAGTCTAATTTTTTGCATCTAATGATCTTCAAAATTAATCATGCAAGTAAGGCATGTTAACAGTAAGAGTATGAAATAAGGGGCTAGATCATTTCTTGTCATTTTAGTAGTTTGTTTGGCATTAAGCAAGAAGACAGTTATTTGGTAAAATATAGGTGCATAGCAAGCTTTGTTTATGAAGTGTGTTGCAGTCAAACCAGTAATTTGGAAAATAAATATTTGTTATGTAAAATTTTGAAATTGGGTGGGATGAAAGTATTCTGTAGTATGTACTGTATGACATTTATCTTCTTGAGTTGGTTTTGACTGAATTCTACTGACGGTACATATATGGAGATGTGAATTGCTCCTGTATCAGTGCTAGTTTGGTGACTGTATCTTGTTTTCCATCTGAGAGGTTGTAAAAAAAGTAGCTTGGAGTAATCTCCCCCTAGCTCTGTTTAGTAGTGTAGTGCCTGTAGTCTTTCCCCATCTTCCCAGGCCAAGAGTGTCCACTGGCCAGTATTAAAAAAACCAGTCATTTGTTGAATTAATTTTGAAAGTGTGTGGGTCAGAGGGAATTAGGGGAGGGTTACCAAACTATATGACAGTCTTTAGTCATGAAAAATATTACAGATATTTGAGGAGGGCAGTGAAAGAGAACATTTTAGGAAAAAAATTAGAAAGTTCTTTTGCATTTCAAGGTCATGAAAAACATGTACATCACATGGACTGCATTGTCTTTATCTCAAAACGACTGAGTATTTAGTGCAGTTACAGATCAGTGCTAATATTAGTCAACCCATTTTCACTGGATAGCTGGTTCTTGATACAGGCTGGTCAACGCTCTTGCCTTGGTCGGATGGTCTCCCCCCTAGCCTGTTGTGTACAGAAGTGTACAGCTGCAATGTATAATGCCAAAGGTGGTATATGGTCAGGATGTCCAACAGAGAAGAATGAGACCTGTCTTTCTTTAAATGTGCTCCGATTTTATTCAGGATCTGAATATGCCAATTATTTTCGATCATTTAAACTTATGCATAATTAACTCATTTGTACTTTTTTAGTTGTTTACTTTTTTCTATTTTGAGTTGTATATTGTGTTTTTTACCAACTAATTATGCTTTGGGTCATGTTGACAGTATTGTTGCATGATAGGGTTTAGAAAGTTATTACCTCAGTAATGCACAATGAGTTCCCTCCTCCCTACTACAAGGAGACTTGGGTAGCATGTTAAGGGAGGCAGTGTAATCTGGCACCATGGCTGATCTTAACAATGGACATTGCTTGGTCCAGCTATTATCATAGTGACTGATCAACTAATTAGATGTGTTGATGGCACCGGGGAGTGCTAGTTCATTACTTCCTCATCAAGTCATCAGTAATATCAAGTATCTGTCTATCATCACGCTGTGGGACATGGATGTTCAGTGCCATCACTGATGCTGACTCAGCGAACATGTGGCTGATGTGCAACCACACCAGATCCATAAACAAAGAGAGACAACTCTCAGATACAAGCATAGATAGTAACAAGGAAGTAGTTTATTATTTTGGAACATATAACAACCAAACTGTATAAAAATTTGAAAGACGTCAATTTTAATATCAACTTAAGTTTCATTTATTTTGATGTGATATGCTGAACTAAATTTATGAGTAGTTGAGCATACTTGGACAGACATTGAACACTTACAGGTTGATTTGACATACACACACTTTGCGTGAGCACCAACAGTAGATGATCTGTGGAGCTGTGTCACATTATTAAGTTCTAAACATACCTAAAATCTAATACCTAACTCGTGCAACACCCTTCACTTCAGGTCTGCTGATCTCATTAAAGTTGCCTACACAGTATGTGTTGCACTGGCATTACTTACTGCTTTCAGGTATGTGTTTTTCATACTGTAACCCATTTTAAACTGCAGTTTCCAAACAACACTGAAAATACTTTCTGTTAGAAATTAATTAAGATAAACTTACACTAATGCCTTGGCATAGCAATTTAAAACAGCATATATATATCAGCTGATAGTAGAATAGCATGGTCATTAAAGCTCTCACTCGACTGTGTTGTGAAACATTGTTTTCCTGTACAAATATCGGTAGCAATATTTGTGATATAGGACCATCAACATTCCTCATAGTTTGTCAAAACCTGAAATTCTTTCAAAATGCATATCACTGTAACGCAAAAGACTGTCAAGAATAGTAAATGATTGCACAGATGGACAGCGATCACGATATGTACTCATGAAGGTCAGCACAGGGGAGGCTGCAGGTTGGTCCAAAACAGTTGTGACTAAAGGTGTACATTATTTGTACACATTTAAAAGTTGTCATCTTGATCTGTTTCTTTAAATGAGATTTAAGACATTCTTTGTCAGATGAATAATAGACATATTTGTTGTGAGGCAAACATAGACACCAATGGCAGCCTCTCCTGTGAAGGTGACCTCCCTGTGTACATCTGTATGTCGTCATCCTGGATGTAATCTCATGATACAAGCTTGTATATCTTGGTGCTACTTACCTGCTTTTACTCATGGTAATACATATCAGCTATTTGACGTGTTTGTGGTAATTACTTGTGCCCATCTAACTCTTTAGCATGACTTTGAAATCATATGTATTTCACAAATACAACTACAGCAATATGTTGACAACACTTATGTTTGAGAATGTTAGTTCAGTGTTTGTCAGTGATATTCTTGTACAATTGATCATTCTAATATCAATCCTCTGTGCTGTTCCTTTTGAAGGCAAATAGAGAAAACAGTTTATTCCAATGCATTTCAGGAAATAAAATAATGTTCACAAACCCACATAGCTGTTTTTATGTTTTCAGATCAAGTGTAATGTGTGTGGCATTAGTGATACACCAGTTGTGGTACACAGGCCATCAGAATAAAAGCAATCTACTACTGATTTTTTACTCTTAAGTAGGATTAAAATAACTTTTTATTTTGTTGCAGTTTAGTTTTAGGATGCAAATAATGGTGCTCCCAACTAAGATAAGCTTAGACACAGAAAATCCATCTCTCAAACGAGACCAGTGTGAGTAAGTGTTGCTTAATGCCGCATCAGCAATTTTGCAGCTATTTGTGGGTAGCAAACAAAATCAACTTAAATTATGTTTGTATTGTTGGTACTTTTGACTACGGACCTAGTTCAACAGCAACGGCTACAGACAAAAGATGAAGAATGAGAATACATCCTCAGCAGAAAGAGAGAGTTGCAATAAAAAGAACCTATTCCAAACTATGTATAAGGCCCGATAACATAGACAAACTGATATTCTGAATGTTAGGTTTGTAATCATGAAGAAATAGACAGCAATGATACAGGCAAAGAAAGCCCTGGCAGCAACGATACAGCATTCAAGTGCAGAACAATGACACATGGGGACACAGTCTGTAGTCAGTGTCAAACACAATATGACAGAGGTACAAAGTGACTCCTGATTGACGGATTTAATAATGATATATCACATGTGTCCTCCTTTGACTGACTGAGTTTGGTTTTACGCCGCTTTTAGCAATATTCCAGCAACATCACGGCGGGGGACACCAGAAATGGGCTTCACACATTGTGCCCATGTGGGGATTCGAACCCAGGTCTTCGGCGTGAGTCCTCCTTTGAAGTGAATGTAGACTGCATACAACATATTGCCTTTGTTCTTGTCTGAACCCTACCCTGGCCTGTTCTTCTTTTGGGATGAAATAGCCTAACTCTTCCCCTGGACTATCCTTTGCCAATTCTTCTTGCACCCATTGCCAGACCAATTCCCCAGCAAATATACAGAATGTACATGTTTGTTGTCATGACCAAGGTCAAGTGGTTGAACATGATTGTACATGGTACACTAAAACTCAATCATCAAGGGTATATATAATTCGTAAATATATCCATTCTGTTGTGACATATACAGCCTGGACCCATACAAATCCAAATCTTTTCATTGAGGAAGTGATGCCACAATCTCCATCTCTCACATTCACATAACTATAAGGGAGCCCTGGATGTGTTTCATACAAAGGATTTCACTTTCTGTCCTATGAACAGAGTAAACTCTGTGCATTTTGTGTTTTCAGCCTAGTCACTGCTGTCCTCACTGTCTGAATAGGGCAAATTGAGTGATGGAACACTGCCTGATGTAACATTACCTGCCTGGACATTGTCCAGACATGAAGCAACCACTGTACTCTGGACACTGCATGTGGTCACTGCACCATCATGTGTTGACTGGCTACACTGCTGGCCCAGGGGAGTGGCTTCAGGTGCTTCCACATCACCTTCCCCTTTATGGTGACTCTTTACCAAGCCGTTTACATTCTCCATATGTCTGACCTGCTTTGCAGAAATCAAGAGGCAAGTCATGCAGGTCTGTATTCACACTATAGACAATCAGTGGACATTCCACATGGCCATATTCATGTCTGAAGTTGTGATCACCGTCTAAGATGGGGGTTGTAAGTGGCTGGAAGGCAGACTTTTTTACTGGCAGTACCAGGATCAGCATCCACTCCAGCATCAGATGATTCTGCTACAGACATTAAAACAATGAAGCAGACAAGACATAGTGCACAAACAAGTTACAGTATCTGCCATTAAATCTCAAGATTATATATTATGATTGGTCCGCCAGCTTTATCAAATCTATCAAATCTGATGATCTGTCAGTCTACTGATGTGCTCCCTGATTCAGACACCTAGCCAGTATACTGATGTGTTCGCTGATTATCTTACCCAACAACATACTGTTGTTCATTGATTACCTCCCCTGACTGATGACACGCCAGTATTCTTGGTTGGTTGGTTTTATAGTTTTAGGGCGACATGGGCCAATAAGAGGCCTATTTGCGCCCAACACACTGACTTGATTTAATAAACAATCATAGGTAATTTCATCGCCCAAAGGATTCTGATATGTTCCCTGATTACCTCCCCCTGATTGTGAAGACTTTCCAGCATGCTGCTGCGTCCCTCTGATTGTTATGACCTACCATCAGACTGTTGGCCTGCACCTCTCTTCTGGCCAGCATATGGGCGGTCAGTCCAAGGAGTGGCTTGTAGATTTGGGTTTACCTCACGAAGACGCCGGATGAAAGCTCTATATTCTCCTTTAAGTTTATCCACACGACTCAAAAACTCCTTTACAGTGCCCTCTGGGTAGCATGTTACCATGCTTTGCTGAAATGAAACCATTCTTCAGTATCTGCCAACATACAAAACCAGTATTCCAGTAATTTGACAGCAGCCTATTAAGTAATCACATCATTAAAAACAGATTGAACGTATGAGTTGTGTCTTTCACATCGAGGTACAATGATGATACACGATCAACCACGCTATCCTTCCTGAAGACCTTATCCATATAGATGTCTATTACGAGAAACAAAGGTAGCTTGTGATCTGTTCTAACCTGGGTCTTATAACTTTGAGACATTTTCTTATATCAACTCAGAGAGGCATAATAGAAAAACCATAAGAAGTAATCGGGTTGTTTGGTAAAGGAAACACATATTCACATACAAACTGTTATTATAGACGTAAATGAAAGGCATATTTGATCAAACTTGTGAATCATCAAGGAATTTCAGAAAAATCAATTTGCTAGATTACTTTTCAATTGAATAGATGTGTATTGGATTTCTTTGCCCCATCATTAGGTTCCTTATAACCTTTCATGAATATAAGCTCACAATATTTAAGCAGAATATACTGTTTTCTATACAAATGTAATGCACACTACTTCTTACCTTTACACAAAATTCTATTTCTTTCTTGATAGATGGCAGCCATTTCTGGATATCTGCAGCTGTATTGAGTGTGTCCTATATAAAGCAAACATAATAATTATACAAGCAGTCACAATGATCTCGTAGAGCTAGTCAGGACAATACCTGTTTGTAGAACAAGGAGCAATTAGAATCTGTAGCTCACCTAAAGTAGGACTGAAACTGTTGGGAATTGCTTTGTTTGTTAGCATTCATCGTTTCTTTAACAAGAAAGTTTATGTCAAAGAACCTGTTTTCACCATAATTTATACTTTGGGATTCTTATTTAATAATGAAAACTATAGTTAGTTACATACTGACAAAAGATATTTTCTGAGTGATCATTGACATACCAAATAGCATGTTTTCATTGATCATTGACAAATTCAATAAAGCATTTTTACAGTATTTCCAGCAATCAATTATCCATAATAGCTGCTCTTTCAAACATTATTCTTTTTGGTTTCATTGATTGTGAGGTTTCCATCAAAAAGATGCTTCTGATGCATGACCGGTTCCAGACTAACAGATCAAGACATAAGCTCTTCTGACTTTCAGTCTAGTGAGCTAATAAAAATCAACGGCATATGGCCTGAACTTAAAATATCTGCATTGCAGGTACATTGTAACAGAGACACATTGTAAAAACATAACATTTAACATATATTGCTTGTTTTCAGTTGATGTCAGTTGCAATGATAGTTTGCAGAAATAATTGGTCTCGTCACTGCCAGTAATGTTTCACATGACAAATACACAAAGGAGTTTTATCACACTGACATATGATACTCTTCCAAGGGGTTAATCCAAATGGCCCTAGGGGGTCATTTTGGCATATCCTGAAAGGGTAAAATGCTATGGTCTCAAGAAAAACTCAGACAAATGATTCTCCTTTCATTCTTTCAAAAAGTATTCTTGCAGTCGACAGTAAACTTGGAAAAATCTTTGGTCAAAGGTAGTCAAAGTTCATGGTCAGCTTTCAGGGTCATATCATTGTTGGTTTCCTACAATGACCATTATCCCACATAAACTTGTGGAATTCTTCTTGCACATACAGTGCGTATGTCAAAGTAATGAAACAGAAAAATCTCATTAATTTACAACTATTATCTTCCAAACACATATTAATGCATTTATTGCATGTACTGCTACATACATGGGATGTGTGAAATGCTTTGAAATGCCTAACGGTTCAGGTCAAAATTTCACAGGTCAAGGTCAGCATTGTTAAACATGGTGATATTATCCGTGTCTGAGGCATGGTTTCCTTTTTACAGGCATGAAACATAATATTAGTCACATTTAATGTTGGTGCTACGTCTATCAAAGATCAAGATCATCTTTGGCATTAATGCGAAAGATGGATGTATAACTTAATTCCAGTCGCTGTTATACTTTCACTTATACAATCCTGAGAGATGGGTAATTGTTGGATCTTAAGGTGTTGTCTCAATTGGAAGAAAAGAAGAGAATATTTTTCTCCAGTGTGCACACTGTGGGTATTGGCTTATCATCTTACGAGATTTTCTTGTTTGTAAACAAACATATTCTGATATATTGACAGATGCAATGCAAGCCTTACAATGCACTTTACATTTTGTTTTGTCAAACGACATTGATATGCTACCACAATTTCAAGAGTGAGGTGCATGACAATATAGATTTCTGAAGGGCTTTGAGGACAGCATGTGAAGACACAACCTATGAAAACAAATCATAAATTTACAAATAGATAGACGTTTCACATTTCAGATGAAAAATGTGCAATATCCTGAAATGACTGTGGAAGAGATGAGTGTGTGCCAGAGGTATTGGACTCCCTGAATGAAATTTTGAAAAGGCGGTGAACATCATTGTATCACACAACATAGGCATTTATACTGTAATCTCACTGGCTTTAGATTTAATCAATCTGCAATCAGTATTGCGTTAACTCATACATAAGAAAAACACCAAGGTTTTACCTGTAATATGCCAGACAGAATCAAGACCAAAACTAGTGATACTCAGCAAACACAGTTGTTGGTTGTGCTGCGAAGAGGTCACTTATGTTAATTTTAGAATTGAAATGTGCATGAACTAATGCTGAGGGGGTCGTTGTCGGCATGGGTACTACAGATATGTACCCCAGGTATGTTTCTGTATACATAAATATACCCTAAACAAAGTCAAAATACAGAAATGTTTCTGGTACCCTAAAAGGGGGGACAAGCCTATATTCTGCAACCCAAAACCGAAACTGTATGTAGTTCAACTAATTGCGAGTGACATTGTGCATTGTGAAATATTCATTATTATGTGTGCTCGTTTATGACACAATCAAATGCATTAAATACCACGGTATGACAAGTACGATCTAGAAAACGACACAATGTGGAATGGACTTGCCGTAGGGTATGTTTCTGTATTGTGATTTTGGGTAGGGTACGCATCTGTAGGACCCCTTCAGCTGAACTAACAGTGTGGTCTTTAAGTCACATTTTTGCACCGGGTGTACATGGCAATACATGAAATTTTTCAGCTTTAAGACTGACTGACTGAGTTTGGTTTTACGCCGCTTTTAGCAATATTCCAGCAACATCACGGCGGGGGACACCAGAAATGGGCTTCACACATTGTGCCCATGTGGGGATTCGAACCCGGGTCTTCGGCGTGACGAGCCAACGCTTTATCCATTAGGCTACCCCACCGCCCCTTCAGCTTTAAGAAAATGTCTGTGATGTGGCTACTGCTGTTTTAGCAAGTGAATGCAAAAAAGCTGTAGATAATTTCAAGCTGTGCTTACTAACTTGGGTCTTGGTGGATTCTTCTTCAAATACTCTGCAAGTAAAATAAAACGATTTTATTTTTGTTTGTTTAAAATTCGTACCTTGACACCGTGGTTCACATAATTAGTTACTAATAAAAGTCGATTGAGGTAGAAAAAATTCAGCACTAAGTGTCATATTGTGCCCCATGTGAGGGGTTTACAATTACACTTTACAGGCTTTTTAACCAACTTTACACCATTATTTTCAGTTAATCAAACTTCACAATTCCTTTTGATTGGTCTCTTTACACAAACAAAGAAATAATCAAATTTTATCACAACTAGGTCTTCAGTTATTGTGTACTCACCTTCCTTGTCTTTTTGTAAGTAAAACCTGTTTAATCGGGCAAGTTGCTTTTCTTCGTTCCTTGCCATAGCTACAGTTATCCCCCTTTACTATTAGACATGTGTAGTTTCGTATTATATGTTTTACTCATTCAATTGTGTGCTCGTCACCTTCAAACAGAACATTCCAACCCAGCAATAATACTTCTATAATTTATAAATGGATCTGACCTAACAACACAATAAATAAAGAAGCGATTGATTTCGATATAATTCATTATAAGTAAAGCTACCATTGGTTGAGTATAATGGCCGCCGAATGTTGTGTACCTATGTGTTAGGAAATAATATATTTATATATTAAACGGATAACAACAGTGAAATTCTAACTTTCTTCTGACCGAAGTGTATAAGATATGTCTGCGTCAATGTCTACTCCCCAGGTGAGTAAATTTTCAGTGAAATATTTCGTCAAAGTCCAGAAGTGTCTCCAAATCTACCATAAGAATGTTATCCCAAGCCTTACATTCTATGGGCAACTACAGAGTAGTGCAAAAAAGTATTCGGACACGTATTCTTGACGTAATTTCCATAGATTTACATGTTAATTGTTAATTTAGTGTAGCATAAATATTTTTCATGAATTTAACTTTCGTAACATCCAAGTCAAATTTTGCACATTTATCATCTTACCTTCAATTGCATAATTTCTGTTTAATTTTCCTTTGCTTATTTATCGAATGGCGACAATTTAATCAACATGTGTACAGTTCCGTGAATGCCTTGAACATGGCGGCCAATGGGATTGTGCATTGTGTAACCATACGTAAGTTGATAAATGTGATGTCATTAGTTAAATAATGGGCGGAAAATTGAACTGAAATTATGTGCGCAGAGCAGAGATGATTTCAAATTTGCCTGTCAAACTTTACAAAGATCTATCTTAAACTCACTTCATGAACATTATTTATGCTACACTGAAATAACATGTAAGTCTATGGAAATTATGTCATGTGCCCGAATACTTTTTGCACGGGTCTGTATGTAAACATGATTTAGTTCCGAGTAGTAAATGTTCCGTTTCGGACTAAATGCTGTGAAATAGAGAATGGATGACATGAATAAAAAGTCTGCACATACGGCAAATATTCCATCGAACAGGAACAAATACCGTAGGTATTCCCTTCAGAATACCTAGACAAAAGGAAGTATTAGTAATACAAGTTTTGGCTTAAGATTGCTCTCGAAACTTCGACACCCAGACTCTCTCATAGCTTACAACCCCCTTACCTGAACCAATAACTTCTGAGAGTCTTAGTAATCTTTTTAGAGGTTAAATTGTCTAGAAATTAAATTTAAGCAGCCTCACCAATGTTTAATCAAGACCAAGTTTATCAAGATGCAAGTGGCACATCTCAATTATTTTGTTAAATTATTGTTATAGATAATTTTTACCATTTGTCTAGGAGCGCTGTAATAAACAGCTTGAAAGGTCATTATTGTCAGTGTGTAAATTTTATAATAAATAGCCACACTGTTATCAGCCTCATTCAACACCACTGGCAGTAAAAGTAAAAGCAGTCAAGGAGTCATCAGTTCCCAGACACAACGTGCCATAAAACCAACCAGGCCAGAGGCATATCAAATATATATTTTTAGGAACCAAACTGTAATATGACTCATTTATTTAACCTGTTACTTTTCACAATGTCAAAAAACACATTGCAATAAGTACGATGCAAATTGCAAATGGAATCTTCGGGAAGATGATCTATATGTCTCTTCTGAAATATCGCTCCACACCTATTTAGGCACCAGCTCAGCTGATGATGAGAAGACAAAAACAGACAAAGTAACCCTTTTTGCCAGAAACCTGGCTCCTCAATGGCCATTAACCAAGGATCTTGTAGCTTTAGCCAAATTTGTCAGCATTATCATGGTTATTATGCAATATATTAGCGATAGCTGTATTAACTCCATCTAGATGTACATATCTCAGAAGTACAGATAAGCTGCGTATCTGCATAAGTTATGCAAATATTTATGTGAAAACTCAATTCTTATTAAGTCTATTGCGTACAAGTATGCTTGAATTTTTGTAAATACTCAATAAATTTGATCTTACATCCGTACACACAAAAATGTCGAATCTTAGTTTGCGTACCGATGGATAGATAAAATAACTGAGGTATACTAAGAGGTTCTATTTCAACACATGAACTTGTCAACTTGCAGTCTTTCTTATCGTTTCTCATATTACAGATCAAATATAAATAACAAACACTAATATTTAAACTTTATTGTATTTTTAAAATTGATGGAAAATGGCAAAATACCCAATTGAGTTTGAGTGAGATGGGTACAATTTATTTGGTTACTCAAAGGAAAATTAGGATACCCAATTGAGATGAACACAAGCGAGTACATAACTCAATGACCCAAAAAGTTATCTGTAGCTCTGATATCTGTATTTCATGCCTACTTTTGTAAACTCTTGTACCACTGTTGGGCATTGGACCATGTGAAAAAGACCTGTTTGTGTTGATCCTTAGGTGTTGTTCCACATCTTCTAATGAATATTTCATGCATGCATGCAGAAATAGGTTTATGATGTGTGTGTAGCCACTGTAGGGTTGTCATACAACATGGAATTATTTTATTTATCCAACATGAAGTTAAGTACTGCTCGTTAATCATGCAAGTCATAGTTCTAATGATATCCCTGGTATTTGTGGGGCCAAATTCTTGGTGCCAAATGTGTTGCCTAAATGGGATTTGAGTCACGAGCATGGTGGGATTTGAGTCATATACATGTGTATGTGGACTACTCAAGTGGCTAAAAAAAGATTATGTATGAACATATCCTAATGGAAATGTGATTTATTGATTCTGATGTTTCAGACCTCAAGTTCAGATGTCCAGGAACATATTGTACGAGTACCCAGGTTTGTGTTTATACAGTTTCATTGGTGGTTTGTCCTCTCTTGTCTACTCCTGACCAACCTCACCTGAGCAGGCTTATTGTACTTGACGTGACATTATTGATCTCCCAAAGTAGGGATGTTCACTCTTGTGAAGAGAAGTGTAATGTTTTATAAAAAATACACCATATACAAATGATAACTGGTATGTGTCTGTTATTCGTAACACTTTTAAATTTCAGAGAAAGAAAGAAGAAGTACAGCATGATGAAGATTGGGAGTGGTGTGGACCTTGACTTTGTCAAACTTCAGCAGGCACAGGTGGGGAAGATAGAGCTCTCTGATGGAAGCAAAATATGTGGTGCAACATGCATAAAGGCATATACTGCATGGAGGGGTCAAAAGCCTCTGCAGCTAAACACGTACAATCATCACAATATTACACTGTAAACTGATAGGTACAGTACAACCAGAAATTATTGAGAATTTAAGATTGTAATTTCTTTGGGTTTTTTCACTCATTACTCACGTATTAAATGTGAATATTAGCAGAACATAACTCCAGATTCAAAGACAGGTGAACAGTTAGTATTTTGTCAAGTCACCATGGCCAGCAATGCAGGGTTCCATGCGGCGGGGCATACTACTGATCAAAGAAGTTAGAAAGTCGTGGTCCATGCTATCACAATATCGGACCACCTCTTCTTTCCTTTCAGCCATATTTGTCAGATTTTTCTTTCCTTCATAAGTCCCCAAACATTTTCTATTGGATTTAGGTCAGGGCTATAGCTTGGCCAATCTAATAATGTCATATTTTGGGTCCGAAACCAGGCCTGTGAATGCTTTGAACGATGTTTTCGGTCGTTGTCCTGCTGGAAAATCCAAAAATGTTCATAGAACATGTGAGCAGATGGAAGTGAATGTCCCTTGAGAATATTTGTGTACCACTCACTGTTCATATTCCCTTCAAATACACAGAGGGGCGTTGCCCCTAACACAGATATGCCACCCCACACGTTAAATTTCGGACTGTCTAAAGGTTTTTCAGTTTATTTGGTCCAGATTTTCAGTGTATTAGGAAACAGCCACACAGAACTTTCATCTGAGAAAATCACATTGTCCCAGTTAAAACTTCTATGCTGTAAGCACCAGTTCAACCTTCGCTCCTTTTGTTCAGGTTTCATGATTGGTGATGGAATTCCTCGACTTTTCTGCCAACCCATTACATGCAGCTCAGTTCTAATTGTCTCCTTACAGACAGCCACAGTTCCTCATCAATCATATCCAGCCTTAAGTTTCCTAAACTCCTTCGTTAGTTTTTTAGAAACAAGAATACCAAGCTGCCTCCTGTCACCGAGTCAATTTTCTAGGCCTACCTGCGCCTCCCTGGTGCTCAATGCCATATCCATTTGCAATATTTTTCAAAACACGATAAACAGTGGACAAAGGGATGCCTGTTCTACTTGAAATCACTTTAGCTGATCTGATGTCCTTGTTATAATACTCTAAAATCAACTTCCTCTTCTCTAAATCATCCATACTGAGGATCACTGAAAATGTCGTCTGCTAGCAAGTTAACAAAGGGGGATAACTCTTCACCAACTAATGAAAAAAGGATTAATGGAGTTGTCTCTCTTGAATGAAACCACGCACTTGATAGCTGGTCAAGGTTGTTTATACTAGAAATCCAATTAAACATATTCCTAAAATTCTCAATAATTTCTGGTCATACTATAACTTATGCTGATGATACTAGAGAGAAATAGCACAGGGCGTTCCACAGTACTTGAGGCTCATTCTTATCTCTTGTTTTAAATATGAATCAATGTCCTTTTTTGTCAGCCTCACACAGTTATGATGCCTCTGAAAATGCACTAAATGACTAAATTTCACTTAATGAACATGATGAAGGTAGATGTTTAAAACCCCACCACAGACATGCAAGTGTCAGTCTCTTGCTGCTGAAGTTAGTTTGTGAATTAAGCTATACAAAGCAACATATCCAGTAAGTATTGATATTTGGGATTGTTGTCAAAGGTTTAATGCACCAGGCTGTGGTGCGATATCTATAATTCAGATAGTACTCGAAACACTAGTGCAGTGTATGAAATAAGACAAAAACCCAGCCAGACATCTGGGCTGGTAACTTCAAAATGGATTTAACCAGACCAGACAATCCAAAGTAAATATCTCAAATTTTAGTTACAATGAATAATTTAATGAACCTGAGACATGTATTTACTGTCTAATAATCTATTCACAACAATCATTGTCAGAGAAATCCGACTGCGCATCGATAGGTGTCACTGTTTTACTGATAATATACTAGTATGTCAACGCAGTGCTTTGAGCTTGCGATGTGATAGCTTAATGTTCAAACAGTACTTGTCAAGTCTAAATGTAACCCTCAGTTTGAGAAATACATTTTAAGGTATGGTGAATTTACTCAGATGTATGCAAAATATTATACAATATCTTTACAAGACCATTAAATTCATAAATGGAACAAAACAAGATATTGGTACATAATCTTCCCCCTTCAACATTCAATCAATATGAACAAATGCATTCTCCAGATGCACACTCTGGGGGCAGTGATGACTGCATTTCACCATTGCCACAGACCACTTTGCATATCACCTGACTTCACTCCTTGTGTGTAAAGAAACATGTCAATTCTAAAATGAGAGCAGACTGGCCAAATGCAAGGCTTTTGGTGTGCTTCTCATATTGTTTTGTGACCTAGATACCTTACTACATCTGTGATGAGCATGGCCGAATATCTCCTAATATGCCTCGCTATCAATAGAAATAATAGACAATACCTGTGGACTAAATAGCAATTGATTATTGACAAATGGTAGAAAAAATAACTTTGAGCAAAACTGCCAGTCTGAAAGAAAAATATTTCACCACACAGCACAGAGAGGTGACACATTTATTCACATGAATGTACCTGCTATACCTTGTTTTGACAGTTTGCTTTCTTGCATGCAAGGCATGCTCTGTATCTTTCACTTCAAATGACCTTTGTTGATGGATCAGAATGTAATGATGATGAGGACGTTTGCTGTTGTTGAGAACTGTGGCTAGAAGAGCTGTGTTTTTTGCTTCATGGGTGCAGGGTACACTTGCACCCTGATACATATTAATATGATCACACTATGAATTTTGGTGGTCATGTCACTCAAGGAAGACCAAGGTAGAGTACTGAGAATACTGTTTGATATGCACAAATCCCATGGTTGTTTTTCATTTAGTTACACTTTGGTCATGTTTTCCAAGTTTACTGCTCAATGTCTTTGGTAGCAACAACGTGACTGTTTCCATACCACCCAAGGGAGATGTTACTGAGATTTTATCATGAGATCTTTATGTCCCCCGCCACAACACGGTACGGGGGACTATGTATTCAGCAGCGTCCGTCTGGCCGTACGTCCAGATTCTTGTTAACACGATATCTAATGAACTGTTGTACCCAATGTTTTCATATTTGGTGGCAGCCTATATTGGAGGATTACGCAGACACCAGTCGATCTGGGTGACCTTGACTTTATCTTCAAGGTCTCCAAGACACTTTGACCACTTTTCAAACTTATGTTAATGCGATATCTCATAAAACGTTGCACATAATGTCTACAATTATGTTGACAGCCTACATTGGGTGATTACGCAGACACCAGTCATTTCAGGGTGACCTTGACCTTATTTGCAAATTGTTGTTTGGTGTCCTCTTAGTTTGTCAACTGTGGAAATGTGAACCGTACAATTACTTTTGTACTCAAGATTAGATCACATGCCTCTTTGGTTTCTCTTCAGACATCAGTGAGGATAGAGAGAGAAAACAACTTCAAGGAATTTAAGAGTGCTTATGACATTGACACCATGCCCAAGTTTGGTGCTGGCAGTGAGTTTGGTCGGGAACAGAAGGAAGAAGCACGGAGGAAGAAGTATGGGATCCGAGTGAAGAAATATAACCCAGATGATCAGCCATGGATGCTCAAGATAGGCCAGGGAAAAAATATGAAGAAGTAGGTTGTGTTAAGGTCAAAATATGAAACTGGTTTATTTGCTCGTACGCCACCCAGAACAAGGCACCTGTATTGCAACTGCATTACACCGTGTCTGACCTGATGATACTCTCAACTGATGTGCAATTGAAGAAATGAAAATATGAAACAAGAGAGTCTGACTAATTATCTGGGTCATGTTCTTTATGAATTGTGCAAAGTAACTGATTGATATAATTTTGTAGCTGCTGTGATATTGCTGGAATATTGCTAGGAGTGGCATAAAACTAAACTAACACTATAATTAAATTATTTTTGGTCAATATTATCATGTCATGTGCATTGTGTGTGAAAGTATGCCTCATGGATATGTAAAAGTATGCAGAATTTATCATTAATACAGATATTGTATTAAAACAGTTGAATGTAAACAAAGATTATATGTACCTTAGTCCATTTTTATACAATGTACATAGATAAACTCCATACATAGAGACAGAGGTTTTGTGCTGGAGGAGATGTCCTATAAACACACAAGAAGCCTGCCCTCCACTGCCAGTCACAGTTGATTGCACACGTTTTGTTGCAAGTAGACTCAGCATAACCACCATAGTGATGTATATAGTTTAGGGCACACTTAATCACAAATGTTTGCCCAAAATCAACTTTGAAAAGCTAAAATAGTCCATAAGAGATGAAAATAAATGATGGGTAGTTTTAGGCGAAGCCCCAAGATAAGGAAGAGCTGACGTAAACATCAATAATCTTTGTACATTTTAGTTGCCTCTTATCTCTAGTAGATAGTATCGTGTTGACATGCTGCATGTGTTTCACAGATACAAGGGTGTGCGGGAAGGAACGATTGCTGACAACACATCTTACTACATCTTCACAAAGTGTCCTGATGGAGCGTTTGAGGCAGTGCCAGTTGAGGAGTGGAACAATTACACCCCTCAGATCAGATACAAGTACCTCAACTCCGAAGAGGCAGAGGAAGAGTTTAGTCGGTCAGTCACCTGTACACTGTATTGTTCAGTTGGTCAGTCACCTGTACACTGTATTGTTCAGTTGGTCAGTCACCTGGACACTATGTTTAGTCAGTCACCCGGACACTGTGTGTTGTTCAGTTATTCAGTCACCTGGACACTGTGTGTTGTTTAGTGGGTCAGTCACCTGGACACTGTGTGTTGTTTAGTGGGTCAGTCACCTGGACACTGTGTGTTGTTTAGTGGGTCAGTCACCTGGACACTGTGTGTTGTTTAGTGGGTCAGTCACCTGGACACTGCATTGTTCAGTTGTTCAGTCACCTGGACCCTGTGTTGTTCAGTTATTCAGTCACCTGGACACTGTGTGTTGTTGAGTGGGTCAGTCACCTGGACACTGTGTTGTTTAGTCAGTGAGTCACCTGGACACTGTGTGTTGTTCAGTTATTCAGTCACCTGGACACTCTGTTGTTCAGTTATTCAGTCACCTGGACAGAGTGTTGTTTAGTGGGTCAGTCACCTGGACACCGTGTTGTTCAGGTGGTCAGTCATCTGGACACTCTTGTTTAGTCGGTCAGTCACCTGGACACTACGTTTAGTCAGTCACGTGGACACTGTGTGTTGTTTAGTCAGTGAGTCACCTGGACACTGTGGGTTGTTTAGTTGGTGAGTCACCTGGACACCGTGTTGTTCAGTTGGTCAGTCAACTAGTCTGTCACCTGGACACTGCATTGTTCAGTTATTCAGTCACCTGGACAGAGTGTTGTTTAGTTGGTCAGTCACATGGACACTGCATTGTTCAGTTGGTCAGTCACCTGGACACTGTGTTTAGTCTGTCACCTGGACACTGTGTTGTTCAGTTATTCAGTCACCTGTACACTGTGTTGTTCAGTCAATTAGTCTGTCACCTGGACACTGTGTTCTTAAGTTGGTCGGTCAACTAGTCTGTCACTTGGACACTGTGTTGTTCAATTGGTCAGTCAGCTAGTCTGTCACCTGTACACTGTGTTGTTCAGTTGGTCAGTCAACTAGTCTGTCACCTGGACACTGTGTTGTTTAGTCAGTCAGTCACCTGGACACTGTGTGTTGTTCAGTTATTCAGTCACCTGGACAGAGTGTTGTTTAGTGGGTCAGTCACCTGGACACCGTGTTGTTCAGGTGGTGAGTCATCTGGACACTGTGTTGTTCAGTTGGTCAGTCATCTGGACACTCTTGTTTAGTCGGTCAGTCACTTGGACACTGTGTTGTTCAGTCACCTGGACAGAGAGTTGTTCAGTTGGTCAGTCACCTGTACACTGTGTTTAGTCAGTCACCTGGACACTGTGTGTTGTTTAGTGGGTCAGTCACCTGGACACTGTGTGTTGCTTAGTTGGTCAGTCACCTGGACACTGTGTGTTGTTTAGTTGGTCAGTCACCTGGACACTGTGTGTTGTTTAGTTGGTCAGTCACATGGACACTGTGTGTTGTTTAGTCAGTGAGTCACCTGGACACTGTGTGTTGTTTAGTTGGTCAGTCACCTGGACACTGTGTTGTTTAGTTGGTCAGTCAACTCGTCTGTCACCTGGACACTGTGTTGTTCAGTTATTCAGTCACCTGGACAGAGTGTTGTTTAGTGGGTCAGTCACCTGGACAATGCATTGTTCAGTTGGTCAGTCACCTGGACGCTGTGTTTAGTCAGTCACCTGGACACTGTGTTGTTCAGTTGGTCAGTCACCTGGACACTGTGTTGTTTAGTCAGTCAGTCACCTGGACACTGTGTGTTGTTCAGTTATTCAGTCACCTGGACACTGCATTGTTCAGTTGGTCAGTCACCTGGACACTGTGTTTAGTCTGACACCTGGACACTGTGTTGTTCAGTTATTCAGTCACCTGGACACTGTGTTGTTCAGTTGGTCAGTCAACTTGTCTGTCTCTAAACAGTTAGAGTTTAGTCACATGGCTACTGTGGGTTACTTGTGATTTGTAATTTGCTGTTATTGTACAGTATCACGACTGTACTTTGTCTCAGTTGTAAAAAATATTATTGTGACTTCTGTATAAGATCAAGGTCACATGAGGTCAAAGTATCACATATGGATAAAACTTCTTGAATGTTTGTAGTAACTCTTGAGAAATCTAAGCATATTCTAGTGACATATGATTGACACTCAGTAATTAGTCCAATATGTATGATTTTGATGCATTGTTCTTTTCAGATTGTGGAACATGAACTTCAGTGTTAAAATTTGTCAAATATATACAAAGATGCAAGTGTTCAATATTCTCACCACATGTCATCATTGTGCCTTCCCTCATGGTGATTCAGTTATGAGCACAAGACATTGATGTTGCAGGAGAGACAAGACTCTGAACTACTTCAACATCATGGTGAAGAAGAGGTTACGCAATGATGCAGTGGACATGGATGACGAGGGCTCTGAGAAGATGCCCAAGGGCAGCAAGCGGAAAGGGAAGGACTTTGTGAGTATGGGTAATGTGCACATCATGGAATAGCCATGATGGGTGGAGGCCTCTCACTCCTCTCCCACATGAGCAGATTTTGGTGTCTGGTGCAATATGGCTGTTTTACACCTTGACATCTTATGCTAAGGGGTATAGTGATCAGTATGTTTCCAAGATACAGTCAGGCCGTGGTAATCCGGTCCTCGTTAATCCGAATCCACCGACTTCCGAACGCTACTCACTGGGCACCAAATCATCTCCCTATATATTGTATATAATTGACACCTTGTTAGTCCGATGATTCAGTTTCCGCCTCCGAACGCTGGTCAGTCGGAACGGATTGGACTAATTAAGTTGTAAACAGCTGAGTTAATCCAAAGGATTGAAGTTGACCGCGCTGCTGACTTGTCCACCCAAAGTGACACGTTGTTTGTTTAGCGACTCATCCCTTTGATCCCTTCATCATAAGTGATAGGGAAATTTCGATAACCACGCTGTTCGGAGAAAGACTTCAATCCAGAAATAAATGCTCGGTACCGTATAGGTAGCGATTTCTTGCTTAATATGTTCAAAATAGCATTATTTTACCCAAAACTTTCGTCTAAATCTATAAGTTTTCGTTTACGAGGATGGTATCAATTGCCGTAATATGATTGGCTGCCTTAGGTCACGTGTCTGATTTTGACCAATCACGACCCTTATAGCAGACTGTAGCGAAAAAGCGCCATTAGAAACCAATTTTTATCCGATAAAATCGCTTCTTACAACTGTGAAAATACTCTCGGCATGGGTTCAGTGATGTTGTTGATGTTCAGAGCTTTCGGACGATACCCGACATCAAACGATTCGCCTCCCATGTTATTCATACGACGCTTCGAAAACGGAGGTATTTTCTGTTGTTATGTCATGTTACCAAGCGGAAAGCCACAGATATCGGGAAATAGACGACCATACATATTATTTAAGAAATCTTTTTATAATAATTTTCTGATGACGTAAAAATGAAAATATAAAAGAAAAAGGCACGGGCATGTTATGACGCCATAGTTTTTGCTTCTTTCGTGGTTTATCTGGATGTTATAATTTCCTTCATAAACATAGGCTTCATCTATGACCTCAGTGCCTCGATAGTAAGGAAAGATATCAAGGGTAAGTAACTCGGTGCATATACTGTGGTTTCAGCAGTACGAACGTTTCACTATCCGAACGGTTTTTTTTAAAAACCAAAGTGTTCGTATTAACGAGGTCTGACTGTATTTCTAATAGTTGCTACTTTGTCGGAATTAGGTTTGACTAAGCATCAAAACCTTTTTATATGGTGAATAATTCTTTCACACATTTTGCATGAAGCAGGGAAGATAAGTCATCTCATGGTGATTCTGTTACCTTTAATCTCCAGAAACTGACAGATCAGGAAGACTGGGCTGAATTGTCAGATGATGATGAAGAGGAAGAGGAGGACAGAGAGGATGGTATGCATACTTTGTTGCTAGTTGTCATCAAAGCATAATTCACTTGGAGGTTGACTCCACAAGACCACAATGATTACCACTGCCTTGTAATGTGATGATGTAGCTGTTGAAACTGAATAATTTCATCTTAAGGTGATGCTCCAAAGAACAGGGCCAAAAAAGGCAAGGGAAAGCCAGTCCCAAAGAGGAAAAAGAATTCTAAACACAACTCTGATGATGAAGCTATTGAGGAGAGCGATGAAGGCGACTATGATGACAGGGAGGTGGATTACATGAGTGACTCAGGCAGGTGAGTAGTATCAGATGAAGGAGGGTGGTATGGTGAGTTGTATCAGATGAAGGAGGGTGGTCTGATGAGTTGTATCAGATGAAGGAGGGTGGTCTGGTGAGTTGTATCAGATGAAGGAGGGTGGTCTGGTGAGTTGTATCAGATGAAGGAGGGTGGTGTGGTGAGTTGTATCAGATGAAGGAGGGTGGTATGGTGAGTTGTATCAGATGAAGGAGGGTGGTGTGGTGAGTTGTATCAGATGAAGGAGGTGGTCTGGTGAGTTGTATCAGATGGAGGAGGGTGGTATGGTGAGTTGTATCAGATGAAGGAGGGTGGTATGGTGAGTAGTATCAGATGAAGGAGGGTGGTATGGTGAGTTGTATCAGATGAAGGAGGGTGGCCTGGTGAGTTGTATCAAATGAAGGAGGGTGGCATAGTGAGTTGTATTAGATGAAGGAGGGTGGTCTGGTGAGTTGTATCAGATGAAGGAGGGTGGTGTGGTGAGTTGTATCAGATGAAGGAGGGTGGTATGGTGAGTTGTATCAGATGAAGGAGGGTGGTAGGGTGGTATGGTGAGTTGTATCAGATGAAGGAGGGTGGCCTGGTGAGTTGTATCAGATGAAGGAGGGTGGCATAGTGAGTTGTATTAGATGAAGGAGGGTGGTCTGGTGAGTTGTATCAGATGAAGGAGGGTGGTGTGGTGAGTTGTATCAGATGAAGGAGGGTGGTATGGTGAGTTGTATCAGATGAAGGAGGGTGGATGGTGAGTTGTTTCAGATGAAGGAGGGTGGTCTGGTGAGTTGTATCAGATAAAGGAGGGTGGTATGGTGAGTAGTATCAGATGAAGGAGGGTGGTATGGTGAGTTGTATCAGATGAAGGAGGGTGGTGTGGTGAGTTGTATCAGATGAAGGTTGCATAGTGAGTTGTATCAGATGAAGGAGGGGTGTATGGTGAGTAGTATCAGATGAAGGAGGTGGTGTGGGGAGTAGTGCCAGGTGAAGGAGGTGGTGTGGGGAGTAGTATCAGATGAAGGAGGGTGGCATAGTGAGTTGTATCAGATGAAGGTGGCATAGTGAGTTGTATCAGATGAAGGAGGGTGGTATGGTGAGTGGTTCAGATGAAGGAGGGTGGTGTAGGGTGTAGTATCAGGTGAAGGAGGTGTGTGAGGAGTAGTATCAGATGAAGGAGGGTGGTTTGGTGAGTTGTATCAGACGAAGGAGGGTGGTATGGTGAGTAGTATCAGATGAAGGAGGTGGTGTGGGGAGTAGTACCAGGTGAAGGAGGTGGTGTGGGGAGTAGTATCAGATGAAGGAGGGTGGTGTGGTGAGTTGTATCAGATGAAGGTGGCATAGTGAGTTGTATCAGATGAAGGAGGGTGGTATGGTGAGTGGTTCAGATGAAGGAGGGTGGTGTAGGGTGTAGTATCAGGTGAAGGAGGTGTGTGAGGAGTAGTATCAGATGAAGGAGGGTGGTTTGGTGAGTTGTATCAGACGAAGGAGGGTGGTATGGTGAGTAGTATCAGATGAAGGAGGGTGGTGTGGGGAGTAGCATCAGATGAAGGAGGGTGGTGTGGGGAGTAGCATCAGATGAAGGAGGTGTGTGAAGATGTAGTATCAGATGAAGGAGGTGGTGTGGGGAGTAGTATCAGGTGAATGAGGGTGGTGTGGTGAGTAGTATCAGATGAAGGAGGGTGGTATGGTGAGTTGTATAAGATGAAGGAGGGTGGTGTGGAGAGTAGTATCAGATGCAGGAGGGTATGGTGAGTTGTATCAGATGAAGGGTGGTATGGTGAATTTTATCAGATGAAGGAGGGTGGTGTGGGGAGTTGTATCAGGTGAAGGAGGTGGTGTGAGGAGTAGTATCAGATGAAGGAGGGTGGCATAGTGAGTTGTATCAGATGAAGGAGGGTGGTGTGGGGAGTTGTATCAGATGAAGGAGGGTGGTGTGAGGAGTAGTATCAGATGAAGGAGGGTGGCATAGTGAGTTGTATCAGATGAAGGAGGGTGGTGTGTGGAGTTGTATCAGATGAAGGAGGGTGGTGTGTGGAGTTGTATCAGATGAAGGAGGGTGGTGTGGGAGTTGTATCAGATGCAGGAGAGGTGGTGTGGGGGAGTTGTATCAGATGAAGGAGGGTGGTGTGGGGAGTTGTATCAGATGAAGGAGGGTGGTGTGGGGAGTTGTATCAGATGAAGGAGGGTGGTGTGGGGAGTTGTATCAGATGAAGGAGGATGGTCTGGCGAGTTGTATCAGATGAAGGAGGGTGGTGTGGGGAGTTGTATCAGATGAAGGAGGGTGGTGTGGGGAGTTGTATCAGATGGAGGGTGGTGTTGGGAGTAGTATCAGATGAAGGAGGGTGGTGTGGGAGTAGTATCAGATGAAGGAGGGTGGTGTGGGGAGTTGTATCAGATGAAGGAGGGGTATGGTATGGTGAGTTGTATCAGATGAAGGAGGGTGGTGTGGGGAGTTGTATCAGATGATGAAGGAGGGTGGTGTGGGGAGTTGTATCAGATGAAGGAGGGTGGTTTGGGGAGTAGTATCAGATGAAGGAGGGTGGTGTGGGGAGTTGTATCAGATTAAGGAGGGTGGTATGGTGAGTTGTATCAGATGAAGGAGGGTGGTGTGGGGAGTTGTATCAGATGAAGGAAGGTGGTGTGGGGAGTTGTATCAGATGAAGGAGGGTGGTGTGGGGAGTTGTATCAGATGAAGGAGGGTGGTGTGGGGAGTTGTATCAGATGAAGGAGGGTGGTGTGGGGAGTTGTATCAGATGAAGGAGGTGGTGTGAGGAGTTGTATCAGATGAAGGAGGGTGGCATAGTGAGTTGTATCAGATGAAGGAGGGTGGCATAGTGAGTTGTATCAGATGGAGGATGGTGGTGTGGGGAGTTGTATCAGATGAAGGAGGGTGGTGTGGGGAGTAGTATCAGAATAAGGTGAGTGGTGAGTGATGAAGATGGTGGTTAGTGGTATCAGATGAAGGAGGATGGTGAGTGATGGTTATGTCTGTATTTCAGTGAGTCTGAGGTGGAGGACAAGGAGAAGGGAGACAAATATGAGGAGAAGGGAGTGGATGAGGAGGCAGGCTTGAGGAAACTCATTGACTCAGGCGAAGAAGATGAAGAGGAAGAAGAGAACAAGGAAGAAGAGAATGATGATGAGAAGGAGAAAGATAGCAAGGCCAAAAAGACTGGTAAGTGGAGTTATCGGATGAATTATGCAGTTATTGAGAATGAGTAGACTAATCAGCTAAATGTGTTGTGAACAAGGAACAAATCTTTTCAAGTTAGTTGTTCCTGTTCCTTCCAACAGGATGACTTCCTGTTGTTATGTATGTGTATTTATGTGGCAGGTTCTGATAGCGACAGTAGCAGCTCCAGCTCTGACAGCGACTCTGATATAGAGAAGGACGACAAGCTCTCCTCAGCTCTGTTCATGCAGGTCAGCTCCCTCATTCTGCAGCTCATATGAGCAGCTTTTACACAAAGAAAAACTTAAAAAAACTCACATGGTAGTTCCTGTTCCTCAATTATGTTCTCTTATCACAGAGAGCAAGGAAAGTAGTCATAGTGATCTTCAGCAGAGAAAACATTGCCTCTGAGTTTCCCCATGTAGCAATAATATGCTTCTGTGGTTATAACAATGCATAGTCTTAACAAATACCCTGTGTCTTTTCAATGAGTTGAGTAAGGTGTGTCAACTGGTGGCTGGTGTGCCTATCGTTGCCTTTCTACCAACCACAGGTTCATCCAGTACACTCGACCATTTGGAGGCTATATTGGGGGAACTTAATGTTACCCTGCTTTCTGAAACATACATAAATATATATACACCTTGTTACACCTGGTATTCTGAATACATCTCTATATGTTTTAGTAACATCGACTGATTCAGATTATTAAACTGCTTTTTCTCGGCAGGAATAATTACGAAGGTGTCGTATTGTTGTAATGTTTTACAATGACATGCTTCTGATTTTGTATATTTACTTGTAAATTTCAGAAAGGCTCTGAGAAGAAAAAAGGTGATAAAACAGCATCTCCAAAACCCGATGAAAGAGGTACATAATCTTGTGTATCATGAGTGCTACAAATAGGCAACTATTAGTACCTTGTGTTTATTCTGTAACTTCTACATTTATGATGAAAACTAAGTGGACGTGTAAGTGTTGATTGAGTGGGTAGAACTAGATATGGTGATTGTACATAAAGAATACAAGCACTGGGGTTGTAGTGGACTACATGTGTTGGTAACGTGTTGTAGGAGTGAAAAGGAAGATGGATGGAGAGTCGTCATCAGTGAAGAAGTCCCGGACAGACAGTCCCCTCACAACACAGGGCAGTGGAGGATCTAGGCAAGTATAAACCCTGCAGAACCAAGGACAGTCTTTCACCACCTGTAGTTCACTGTGGCACAGCAGCCAACATTTCTACACCACTAATGATGACAACTGGCCTTGACAAACTCTCCAGTTATATGTCATTTAGTTTGATATTTCCTTGTGAATTAGACATTGAAATACATAGCTAAGCCTTTCACACCAGCCGGTTCCAAATCATTTCACAGCAGTGGGCTTTGATGAGCAATACTGATCTCACAAATTGTTCTTGCTTTTCACTTTCATAAGAAATATTGAATTTACATAGAACTGATTTAAAATCTTAATACCCTAGGCAGAAGGGTAGTCGAGCAGTTAGATGTCATGCTGAACACACATTTTCCATTCCTCACATACTTACACTGCTGATTGCTATTATGAGAACCAGCCGTATGTAGTTGAAATGCCAGCTTCACTCTGATTATGGTGTTCGGTTTGTTCACATCTTGCACATGTAGGTTTTTTCTAAGTGGAAAACACCTGTCTTTTGACTCTTAATTTGTGCCTGTTAATTTTTACAAATTTTGCTACATATTGATATGTTATACTCTGCCATTTGACATACCGGTACAATCTAATGTTCTTTGTCATCTTTGTTTCTAGTGAGGGTATAACAGAAGATGCCATTCGTCGGTACCTCATGCGGAAACCTATGACAACCAAAGATTTGCTCCAGAAGTTCCGGTCTAAGAAACTCAATATGACAAATGAACAGATGACCCACACTATTGCCCAGCTGCTTAAAAAGATCAACCCTGACAAGAAAATCATCAACAAAGTCATGTACCTGTCTATAAAATCTGACTGAGAGTTGGTAGTGTGGCATTACTGGAGCCATGCTGATTTGGCAATACTGGATCTGTGCTGGTCTGGCATTAATTAAGTTGTGCTGGTCCGGCATTACTGGATCCATGATGGATTCGCATTACTGGAGTTGTGCTGGTTCGGCATTATTGGAGACATGCTGGATAGGCATTACTGGAGTTATTCTGGTCCTGCATTACTGGTTGTGCTGTTTAACCTAATGAGTTAGTTCAGCAACTCAGTGGTGGTGATGTCACAGTCAGATCTTCAATCATCTGTGACAAAGCACAGGTGTTACCAGCATCGGAGAGTGGTGAAAAGAGAACCGCAGTACTAAGCGTGTTTAACAGGAAGACTGGTCACTTGTCTGTTCCCAAGCAGCAGGACAGTTTGCGAGTGTTTTAACACTGCCCATGTACATATGTAAATAAAACTTTATATTCCTAACAATGATGTTTCAGTAACAAGATGATGAATTTTGACTACTGAAAATAATTCTACATTAGGAATCTGATATGCTTTCATGGAATTTATTAAATTGCCTAGACAAGCACAAGTCTGCAAATTCAGTAGTGATAAACCCCAAAAGTACCCATCGACAACCTGACCTGTGCATGCAATGTTACATGAAAGAATAGCTTTTATAAAGACTTGCTTGGTATATAGCAGGGATAAGCACACCACCATAGAATGAGTCAAAATCAAATTTGTCATGGAAAGTATAGAACTTCTAAACCTCCCTTATAAGAGAGGCACCAGTTGACAGCCTAATCTGTGTACACAATGCCTTACAGAAAAACAAAAATACAGATAAAGCTGTTTAGTATTATATCTAAAAGATAGGTCTAGATCAAAGGATGGAAAAACACTTATCAAATGCTCACAGGGATGTCTGTTAACTTATAAAACACCTTAACAGTTAGGTCAGGGAGAATAGGTGCTATAGTTTTCACTCTGAAGAAGACCTGGGATATCAAGGTACACCATTGGAGGAAAACGTACCTTGTACCCCAGATTCTATCAATACCTAGGAGGGAAACTCCAAGAGCAATCGGTTGATTGAAATTGTACCTGTGATTGTGGCTCTATGCTGCCTTTAGTGTAACAAGCTGTCACAAGATCTAATCAAGACACGATACCAAATACCATACAGAACTGCCTACTCTGTCTCTGAAGCTCAAATATTGTGGTTAAATGTGTACATGAAAACTTGCTCGAGTGTAATTATGGATTTGTGTAAACTTGGTCTTGTTGCTATATGGCTGAAACAATGCTGATGCAACGTTAAATTTTAACTCGCTCACTCTTGTAGCCCAGTAAGGACCTGTGCATGTGTCCTGACAGTGACCAGCCATTGTAAGTTGTTCATTCTCTCACCAATCTAATTCACAGGGAACTTGGAATACGGAACAGTCTCTTTTATGTTCTTTTCAAAGGCAGTACTCATTTCCTCCTGATGTATCTTCAGCCAGGTGTTGAATCAGACTATAGATTGTCCACCAGGCTACACAGAAATAAGACTTGCACACCTGATGTGTGCTTCCATGATGTCACTCCTGACAGGTACAAACTACCTTCACAAACAAACACCTGTTGATTGTAATGAGTACTTTAGAGTACAGCCAGTATAAATGTTGTGTAATCACACAATACCTTGATGACCCTTTTTATTGTTTGTAGCTGCTGGGATTGAGCTATTTACGCATCAATTTCATGACAAATACCAAAATGACTCCACGTGATAAACAAGGCATGGTTGTTTGGTATTCTACAAATAGCTTGCATGGACAAAGGATCCAGTACTTAAGATACTTCGGTAAGAGTTTCTTAACACACCCTACTGTTCTTGGGCTGATGTGAACTTCAACGGTGAAGGGACAAACATATTAACAATACAGTAACAAAGAACCCATGTTATTCACTTAGGAAATAAAGTTCGCTCTACCCCAATGTGTTTTGTAATAAAGTATAGTTTTGCCCTGAACTATTATGCCTTCTGTTATTAATTAAAGCATGATGACGGTAGTCCGAGTGCTTTGATGTTATAATAGTTCAGGGCAAAACTATACTTTATTACAAAACACATTGGGGTAGAGCGAACTTTACATCTTTTCTAAGATGCTAAATTTAATACTTTCTAAGGATAATTACGATTAATTTAAGGCAGAAAACAAACGACGGTGTCGGTGACCTAAATTAAGGATCCTCGCACAGGGCTAACTGGTGCGCTGTTCTATTGATGTGTCTGCCCCCTACGTTAAGACGAACGGTACCAGAAAAAAGGAAATGATAACAGTTTGATGACGGTTTACGTTCGGATTAAACATCTTCTCTGAATTATTTTAATTACATCTGTCATTAACGTAAACCATATGGGGCAATATGATCGTCGCATTTCTACTACCAACGTATGTTTAGATCAGTACATCCAGATGAAGCTGAGTAGTCAAGCGATATTCCACGATTGCATTGTGGGAATGTAAACATTGCGAACGGTACCGTGTCGCTGAAAACTTGTGAGTCGAATTGACACATTTTAACCGTCGTGAAACATATACGTAATGTTTCCACCAGTGATGTTAGCTGCGTGAAGCAACTGCAAACCAAGAAACGGGATGCAACGGAGTAGTTTACTGTAGGAGGCTATACGAGGCGATGACAACTGACATGAATCGTGACGTTGCTTACATTGTGACGTAATGTAAAATAATTCGATTACGAGGGGCACACTAGAATGGCGCGGTGACGGGAAAACGTCATTCAATTGTTACATCATCAAAAAACTATACCTTTATTGTCTGATAATGTATTTTTTTTCCGATTGTTCTAACCGCTAGGCATCTTAGAAATAGTGTCATTCGTGTTTCAGGGGGATGTGCACGTTGCCCCCTTGAAGTCTGAATGCTACTTTAATTCACATGAACAGGCTAACGGATAGTGTTGAACTTCCTTGGTAGCAGTCCAAGACATTGTCTGTTCTGTCATCTGCTCCCCCTCATTCCCAGAAATGACCCTACTTTCCTCTGACACATCAGTGACAACTGCATTGAACACTGCATATGCATGCACGATATGCAAATATCCAGAAAGACAACACAAGAGAAATTAAACCTGACATTTACTTTACAATGCATGATACATTATTTTGCCACAGCGGTTGATGGGGCAGCAGCTCCCTTCCTTCTGGGCTTGGGAGTTGTTCCTTCACGGAATCCATTCCTGAAAAAAAAACCCGAAAAGGGTAAAGCAATTATGAATTTCACAACAATAATTGATCTTTTTCCTTGGACAAAACCAGAAAAGAATAAATGTGTTAATTTTTCATCTGGAGAAAACACATTTAGTCATCCTTAACAAAATGTTCTACAAACAATCCTTCATGTAATACTATAATATAGCGCAATGAAATATTTCCAAATCTTTTCATTGGTCTGTACTGAGTGAGACAAGCAATCACCACGTCAACACTACTGAATGGGTACCTCATTAGGATGAGAGAGCCACAATAACTTGGTGCGCCTAGTGGCCTAATTGTATACTCCCCAGGGTGTTGAGATTGATAATACGATGTGCCGTTGAGATTGACATCCAATGATTGACGCCTTGAGCATGCACTAGTTGCCTGGATATGTGCGCTATATAAATATCCTATTGTATTGTATGATTAGCTGCCAGAATAACAGTGGTTGATCACATGAACAACAATTAGCACATGATGTCAAGGTATAACATATACTGAACAAAATAAAGTTAAGAAACATGAACATTTTTGGAGACATTTAACGAAATTATGTGCATGTTCTTCACTGTAAAGAAATATTCCCCCAAACTGTCATGAATCTTACGTACATTTTGAACAACATATGCTATCATGCCCAGTTACTCTGGCTACTGATATGATATACAGTCAGCTCTCGTTAATCCGACACTCATTAATCCGACAATCACGTTAATCCGACAACAAATTAGGGAACCATTTAAAACAGTGATAATTACTCTCGTTAATCCGACATTCTCGCATTCCAACTCCGACACACCAATCTAGTAGCTGATTATTGTAAATACATTGTAAAAACACTCGTTAATCCGACAATCAACACAGCCGGTCGGATGATCTGACCGTATACAAACAATCACACGCGAGTGGTAATTAGCGTGTGCCTTACTGGCTGCTTGACACCAGCGTCAGTGAACACAGGATAATTAATTGAGACGATTTAATCAAGAAATAACAGTAGAGCGAGCTGTATAAAATGTTTACAACCGACATGAGTTTTCATCACACCCATTGGGCTAATTTTGCTCGAGTCACTGTGCAAGGTAAGCAGTTTCTACCAACAACAAATCATGCACACTTGTCTCGGAATACCTTTTCCTAGCTGATACACATTGAGACACTAAATCCCCACCTGAATCTCCTGAAGACAATCTTGAGATGCCTCATCCTGCCAGTGCCAGTTGTCCTCCTCCTCTTGGACTTAATGCTCCAGTTAACTGTAACATACCACTGGTTGTCATAGCAACAGGCAGAAACAAATATGGCCATAAACAGTACTTACTCCAAGCTAATTAAAACATGCTTATTAACTTCAGTATTAAAGACAAAAATAATTACGCAATCAACAACTATTTGACAAATATTCAAGGTTTGGACAAAGCTAATTCTCTAACTTTTTTATTGTAAATTTAGGTAAGAGTTTCTTACGTACCCCCAACTATTTTTTTTTTTTTAAAAATACAAAGAAAAGATATACAAGTAATGAAATCATAAAATAGGCAGGGGGTATGTAAGGAACTCTTTCATAAATCTATTCAGGTAGGTGCGGAGAGACATTTTACTCCTTCAATGAAGTTAATTAAATGTTCGACATCACTGGAACAACGTGTTCTAACACCATACAGCAATATGGTGATAATACTTAAATATGCATCAGTACAACTGTATTTGCAAACGTTATACTTAAGCAGGATTCTATAACTGGAGAAACAATGGCCTACTTTCTGAAAGTGTCATATGCATTCTCACATTTTTTACTGAACTCACAAAATATTTGTTCATTCAATGAGATCTACCCTGTGATTATCCTGTCTCATGACCTTTTCACTTAGAACTTACACGTCCTTTTCCTGGCGGCAGGGTAACCACATGATGCACAGGTTTTCTTCTGGATATGATAACCACGGCGCCCACACCTGCGGCAGTGTGTGTGGGTCTTGTTATGCCGCTTACCAAAGCTGGATGTACCTTTGGTCTACAATCAAAGAGGTAATGAATTTTTTAACAACAGTTCTGTAGAAAATGACAGCCATCAAAACGAGTGTATGCATATTTGAATTTAAACATATCAATAGCAACAGCATACACTGTATCAATAACATACATAAAAAACTGATCTTTTCTCAAGTGATTGATTATATATAACATATTTGACTGAAGATATGTCGAG